CATCAACTTGATTACAAAAGATTTCAAAAACCGCAACCTGTGTATGCTTTTAAGATTGGGGTAAATTCAACCTGGGTACCTTTAGCAGCTTTAATTTCATCGTGGGTACTTTTTCTTACATAAAACGTACCCAGCGTACACAGATAAAATTTGAATATCACGGCCCAAGCCATGTGTAAATTTCCAACAAATCTATGGTTTCCATGAATGATTTCTTAATTAAAATTAGCGGGAACTTAACGGAAATATTAACGGATGCTTTGTGAATAAGGCAGCAATACACAGTTAGGAATTAAGTTTCGCATTTTGGCCATGTGAATTTTTTAAATATGAAAGTTTTTGTGTAATAAAATTGATTTTTAGATAGCTGAAGAATAATATAGCCTTCAAAGTGGATTAATATGAACATCAAGATTGTTTTTGCATGTTTTATAGGCCATATTTCTGTTACCGCCAATTGATCCAAAAATTATTGTAGTGTTTTTCAATAAATTTTGACCCTCGAACTTTTCAATTCAATTTTGTTGAAAAATGAGGTGAAATGCATATGATTTTTTTTGGACCTCTTGATAGATAAATGCAAATGGTTTCAGAAAAGGTATCACTCCAATGGATTGAAATTCTTCTTTGGACCAAATTTTGGGGACTTTTGTGACATTCCCCCTTCCCTCCTTTTTGCAATATTTTGTATCAAATAAAAAGTAGATTGTTGTCATGATTACACCAAAAAGAGATTATATTTCACCATTTTAACTTGTGGAAATCAAATCTATGGAAAATGCTATTTCCATACATATACACATACATAACACAAACATTAAGCCTTATTGGAAGTACTTGATAAATTGCATGCTTATATTGGTGATTTCGAATCTGTTAAAAGTGTTGATTTTTCTACCCTATAAACCACGTTACCTCATAATCTTATTAAGAAAAAATTCACACACCTGATTGAATGGGCATTTAAAAAGTCGGAATGCGAAAATATATGTTCAAACTCTTTTAGGTCATTTTTTAGTAACAACAAACAAAAAAACTATGTCAATTGGACTTGCTTTGATACTATAACTGCCCTTGAATTTTTACTAGATAACATTTTTGTTCGCTATGGAGATTCCGTATATCGTCAGGTTATCGGAATTCCCATGGGGACTAACTGTGCACCATTTATTGCGGACCTGTTTCTGTATTGTTATGAGTTACAATTTATGACTAAAATCAGCAAAGACCCATCGAAACAACATCTGATTCAAAAATTTAATAACACTTTTAGATATTTAGATGATATATTGGCTCTCAATAATGACGACTTCAGTATGTACACTAAAGAGATTTATCCTGCCGAACTGACTTTAAATAAAGCTAATACTAACAATGAACAGTGCCCTTTCCTGGATCTTGATATCTTTATCTTTAACGGGAAGCTTAATACCAAAATTTATGATAACAGAGATGATTTTTCATTTCCTATTGTTAATTATCCATTTTTAGATGGTGACGTTCCCTTGTCGCCATCTTATGGTGTTTATATATCTCAACTTGTTCGATTCGCTCGTGTATGTAACAACGTATTTGATTTCAACGAAATAAATCTCTGTATTACTGAAAAATTATTACACCAGGGTTTTCGATATCACAAACTAGTCAAAACATTTACTAAATTTTATCATCGGTACAAGGACATCATTCGTAAATATAAATCAACATGCAGACATCTTATACGTTCAGGTATTTCACATCCAATATTTTATGGTAATATTCTTTACAAAGCACAAACACGTCGGCGTTCACCTCAAAAGCTAACCAAACCTTTAAACAGACTTATTCGGAAAGGATATAGTTACGATACTGTTGTCAAGTCATTAAGGATTGCATATTTTGGTATTAATATTGATTCACTCATAGGGTCTTTGCATCGGAGATAAACACATTTATTCTAAAACCAGTTGCTGGCATGATACGGGTTATGTTCTCATATATTTTATGATGGTATGATACTAAACCCCTAACGGGAGGGATTGTACTTGATTTTCATATGATGAAGACATAATCTTTCAATCAGTCTGTGTCAGTAACTGCTAGTAGTCCTTTGTTCATTTATGTATCATTGTCATTTTGCTTAGTTTCTTATGTTACCTATTCTGACATCGGACTCGGACTTTTTTAACTGAATATTACTGTGCGTATTGCTATTTGTTTCTTTATTTTACATTGGATAGAGGTATAGGGGAAGGTTGAGATTTCACAAAACATGTTTAACCCCGCCGCATTTTTGCGCCTGTCCCAAGTCAGGAGCCTCTGGCCTTTGTTAGTCTAGTATGTTTAATTTTAGTTCATTTATATGTTTTGGAGTTTAGTGTGACGTCCATTTTCACTGAACTAGCACACAATTTTATTTAGGGGCCAGCTGAGGACCACCTCCGGTTGCGGGATTTTCTCGCTGCATTGAAGACCCATTGGTGGCCTTCGGCTGTTGTCTGCTCTTTGGTCGGGTTGTTGTCTCTTTGACATATTCCCCATTTCCATTCTCAATTTTGTTATTTGTTAGAAAGCAAGGGAAAGAGGGTAGTTAAAAATTATGAGTTTCAATTTTAAGTTTTTTTTTTTTCTAACTGTGTATTTCTACCTAAGCTCCCTGATGAGTTAAGCCCTTTTTAACTGATTTTTATAGTTTGTTCTTATGATATGCTATGACACCACTGTCCCAGGTTAGAGGGGGGTGGTTGGGCGCTTACAAACATGTATAACCCCGCCACATCATCATTCTTTATGTGCATGTCTAAAATTAGGAGCCTGTAGTTCAGTGGCTGTCGTTGGTTCATGTCTGTCATATTTATTTTTTGTAAAATATTGTGCTATAAGATAGGCCGCTGGTTTCCTCAATTGAATGTTTCATATTTTTCTTGCCGAGGCCTTTTATAGCCGACTATACGGTTTGGGTTTTTCTCATAATTGAAGGACGTACGATTGACTATAATTTCTTACATCCAATTCATTTGAATTTTGGTGGATAGTTGTCAAAGACACATATACTCCATAACGGTCAAAGGAATAAAGTTGAAACAATTCCCCCAATCAACCAATGTTTTTTCTAGAGATAGCTAAGTCTATAAGAATAATGAAAAACTCAATTGACCAATCACGATTTGCCTGTATTGATCCACTGGGGAGTATTGACCAGGGCGGTAAATACCACTGGTAAAACTTGTGCATTTAAAGACCTAATATAATTTGATTTGATTTGATTTTTTGTGTTTAACGCCACTTTTAAGCACCGTTTTTGGGCTATTTCCGCCAGTTTTTATTGGTGGAGGAAGCCGGAGTGCCCGGAGAAAACCACCGACCTTCGATAGGAAAAAAAGACATTATATAAGTCAAATTATTGACTTGTAAGTCATTAATTGTACATATATCATGTCTTGAGTTTATTTGAACAAAACAGGATCAAACTGGCCTGTTAACTATACCGTCAGACAATATGTATAATGAAAGACAACAGAGCCAAAGACAAATAAAATGGTCATTGCAAAAGCACAAGGACTGTTATAGAGAGAAATGTCTTTCATTTTAGCCAGTTCAAAAGAGACCATAACCTTCATCACTATTTAGAATTTAATGATAAATGAAAAGATCTAGAGATCATGCATGTAAAATGGCTAATGTTGACTTTTCAACTACAAATTATACTAACACAATGCATTGTACAGATTGGGGACAATCCCCAAAATTGGTTATAGCATACTTTTTGGGATATGAGTTACTGAGCAAAATTCACTGTGCAACAAAATGTGTTTTTTTTTATCAAGTCAAGGGAAAATATTTCAAAGTGCAAATGCTTACATAAAAGGCAACTTTTTGGTTAGCAACTTTTCTGAATATTTGGTTGTTGGAGTTTGATCCCTTGGTAATGCTGTTTTTCAGAGGTATCAAACTAGCAGTCTCTTAAATATCTGGAAATCTTGAATTCGCCACCAAAAGTTGCTTCTATTGATCTAAAGAAATGCACTTTTAGATCTTTTGCTAAATTAAAAAATTAAAAATTTTAGCACAGTAAATTTATATCCCATTTGGGCTATAACATCTGAAACGGGTTATTATAATCCATTTGGGAGATTATTACAACCCCGTTAATTTCGGTACGGGTTACATTAAAGTCTTTTGGTCTATAATCGACACTGTGGCTGCTTTAAACGCAAGACCGTATACAATATATACAAATTTATTTACACAAGTTTACTGGTTGAAAGCTAGGCGAAGACTGCCCAAGCAACAGTTTACAAAATAATTTTATATTCATTCGAAGTTAAGGATCTTAAAACATTTACAAAAGGTTCTGATAAAACATTTCTATTATTGTCCAATCTTATGCGATAATGATCGGATTATTGTCCTCCGGCTAAACTTAGTAAAATAGCGATAATTGATTCTTTTGTAGTTGAGTGTAAGATACATGTATTATCTTTCGCACTTTTAACTGCCATCGGATTAAGTTGTAAATTACAGAAATCTATAATCTATTTGGGTATTTGAAATAAAGAAACATTTAAAACAAGAAATATTCAATTTAAACGAGAGTTCATATAAAGCACTTTGCGAATTATAGTAAAAGTTCCTAACGTCACTTTTCTTCCGGTTATATTGACCCCAACCTGCTTATATGTAAATCATGTACTATTATATGTGGACATATACGAAAAAATATAAATCAGTTTTTAATATTAATAAATATAATCTACTTTTTGATATTAAGAATTACTTTTTAATATTAATAAATCGAATTTATAATATTGAAAAAAATAAGTTTTTAATATTAAAAAAATAAAACTTATTTATTAATATTAAAAAAAGATGACTATTTTTTTATATTAAAAAATAATTCTTAATATAAAAAAAATCAATTTTTGATATTAATAAATAGGGAATAAATTCCACAACGGCTTGTCATACCTTTTAACTTTTTTTTCACGGAATTAGATCGAATCCGATTTTACGTTTATAATTTAGTGACTGCTGAGATCACAATATAGGTCGTTTCAACTTCTGTTTGAATGTAAGTTCCCTTTAAATACAGTTATAAAAACAACTCGACCCAGTGAGCGGACTGGTTCCAACCTTTGTCTTACATTTATCCGATTATGGAAACTTGTTTCAAGTTTTTTCATCGAGTGTCATTAAATGTGTTTCACAGGCACTTGTTTCTGTCTGGGAACAGGATATCTATATGTCAATATATAATTATATATGATCCTGTTTCTTTCCATGGAAAGGTCGACTATCGATATGTTATACTAAAAGTATTACATATATGGATAGTCGACATTCCCATGGATAGAAACAAGACTGTGGTGTGTTTGGCTGTTTGCGAATGTTTAATCCAAAAATGCACGTAAAGTACAGGTTTTGTTTACGTATTTAAAAGGTATTGTCATTATTCAATTATTTATAATGAGGTAATATACGTCAATATTACCACAACCCAACAACACAAAATACACCTATACAATACGATACATGTTTATTCTAATTAAGGTCCATCAGTATGATCAGGGGGTAATGACAAGGGTACACTCATTATTCAATTATATCAACATATACACACAATACACCACAAGAATACAATGTGTAAATTATACTGGTGTAATTATAACAAAAACAATATAAGGTCAAGGATTTATATATATTTTGAAAAGATGAGATCTCTGTAGGGATGTTGCTGTAGTTCGACCCAATTCGCCTTTTCAGAATCTAAAGAACTATGGGTAATCTCATTGTTCGTACACCAAAATGATAATAACGTTACGTCATTGGTTCATTTGCCATGAAGGGGAGGCATAATTTTGATTAATTTATTGCTTAGTTGGAGGCGACACTAGTGGACGGTTCATAAATTCACACAAATCTCCCAGTCTTAATCAGCAAAGCAAGTATTAAAGTAAAATATAAATATAGATGAATAAAGAGGGGCCATTTAGTTGGTTGGTTACCTGGAGGAGACAACAGGAGGAAGCGCTTAAAAAATTGTATGATTCTCGCTATTTCTAAACCAGCTAAGCAAGCAGCAATAAATAATATGAATTTACCAAATTTGTTTCGTGTCATACTGGCTTTTACAATAGACAACATGGACAAGTGTCTATTCTAGTACATCTCTGAGAGTAGTAGAAATGTTAAGAAACTTAACAGAGGTAATCAAAGAAATGCCATCATTATAAAGGTGTGTAAGGGACAAATAAAATCAATTATGATATCACTAAAGTCTTACAATACTCCTAAATTGGGACAGTCACACTACAATATGGTGGAGTTACACTTAGTCTCCCGCTAACAATCTTGACCAGTGGACATTGTGGAATTAAAAAAGGTACCTTAAAGAATGTACATTAAAAATCACTTCAGAAAAAGCAATTTATTTAATAATATAGCTTTTCTAATGTCAAAACACGAATACATGTAAAACAATACAGTTGAGTAGCTACTATAGCAACCATTAATTATCAATCTGCTGATAAAAAATCATGCCATCTGCCACTGTAATATTGGCCACTTTACTTCCAAGTAGATTTCATATGACCAACACAGGAAGTCTTGTACAATGTCTTAGGTATAGAATTTGTATACAAAAAAAGGAAATAAAAAAAACCATTCAAGTTGAGTTTCAAAATGTAAGTTAGCAAATGGAAATATTTATATCCCCGAATGCAAGATGAATGAATTCACATCAACAGTACAATTATAACTATCGATAGGTATAGTATTCCAAAAAAAGATAGGAGGGACAGTGACTAGTAGTTTACTCATATTTAAAAAGTATTAAAAAATATTTCTTCAGTATCTTTTTATATTAATTTCTTCAAGAGCAGGCTAAGTGTTGGAAAAATATATCAGAGTATTACATTAAATGATAACTCTAGAAGGATATATATATATATTATAAATACAGGGAGACAATTGAAATATGTTTAGACATATGACAAATATAAATCACAATAACTCTAAAAGAGACCTAATTTGCAATTATGATCAGTTTTAAAAGGACTAAAATTAAAAACAAACAAAAACAACTCTATTTAAGCCAATCTAATTTTATATACTCTTGCACATGATGATCATGAAGATATGAGCCTTCAATACACACATGGCATTATCCCTGTAAAAGGATAAACATATTGAATGTAAGAATTTGTCAGGTCAAATTTTGGTTTGAATAAATTTTTTGGCAATATGTCATTGGCCCAGTAAGGGACGACATCAAAAGTTCAATGTAGGATGAAAAACTTAATTCACATAGTTTTTTCACTGACCCCCCCCCCATCCCCCTCTTAACTTAATTTGGAAAAAATTGATTGACCAATATATGGGCATATGTTATCATAGTATACTTTTTGTATCATGGGTCCTGTTTTCCTCAACAATGTATGTTTGTGCTGTATATTGACTTGGACATCACTTTTAAAAATTATTGGAAAAAAGTGATGTGTATTTTTAGTATGCATAAAAAAAGGCACTGTTTAATTATAATTTTATAAACACTAGTCAGCATGGATTCTACATTTTTCATCCGCCCACTATTGGCATGGATAAATAGTGGGTTTATGGTTTTGATTGTTTTTGTTTCTTTTCTCAAATGAATATATAACAGTTCGTTACTTCATATAAAAATAGCTTTAAACTAAATAGTGGTCCATTAAAATGTATGGTGATGACAGGGCAGTGCATTTGTGCCTACTGTGGAGAGAGGGAAAAGCACAATCCTTATTGAGTGTAGTGAATGTGATATGATCTATGTAATTTATATTCAATGTCTGTTGTCCGTAGTAGTGTTGACCACTGTCATATTTTTCTACTATCTCAAAAAACTCTTATAGTATATAACTTTCAAAATTTTATTTTAATTTATATTTCAGTTTGCATTTTAATAATTTAATAATTAACACAATTCAAAGAAAGTTTTATAGTTTGTTTAAAACAATCTCTGTTGATCTGTATCTTCTTCTTAGTATCAGCCTCCTTTAATTAGGAGCACCTCCAAAATGTATATGGGTTTCATATTATTTAAAATTCACAATCGATAAAGCGTTTGAACGACGTAGATACATTCGGCCAAAAATTTGCTTTCCAGTACGATCTGATGGCTTTCATTTGGTTTAAAAGTCCAAACATATGTTAGAGACGAACTTAAAACCATATTTTTCAATCCGAAAATCGATGTCGGATAAACAAAACTGCAGCGATTTTTACCCCCCCACCCCACCCCCCAAACTATTTGAATTAAGTTTTTTATTCTACATTGATCTTTTGATGTCGTCCCTAATGCTGATGAAAAAAACAACATGTGGCAAACATTCATTTTAAGCAAAGAAATAAAACAAGGTACGGATTACATGTACCCAGCTTGGTCAGCCTGGTCTTTCAGGGGGCATTCAACCAACTTAGAAAATAACTTCTGATTAAAAACAAACAAAGCACGAAATCTTTGTGTTATCTCAACCCATCAACATGCCAAAAATAAAGTAAAACTGCTTTTGACTCTACACTGTCGGAATGAAAACAAAAACAATAATTAAAAGTTTTTGTTCATACACAGTTTTTTCCTATCGAAGGTCGGTGGTTTTCTCCGGGCACTCCGGCTTCCTCCACCAATAAAAACTGGCCGCCACGATTTAGCCCAAAAGCGGTGCTTAAAAGTGGCGTTAAAACACCAAAAATCAAAAATCAAATCATACACAGTTTGTCTGGAGACGTTTTCTGAAAAAAAACACCGGGCCTTGGTGTCATAAAATTTCGTACTAAGACTCACAGTTCAAACAATTCAAGTACTGGGTTTGGTGTTTCGAGCTCACATTTTGTACTCCGAGTACTGAGTGAAATTTTTATGACCAAAAGCCCGGGTATCAGAAGGGTAATGTCCATAAACTCGTACACTGGAGCACAAAGGCTTTCATGGATTTCCTGTTGCAAATCAAAATATTTTAATCTACTCTTGAACACTCTTGTTTTCCAGTGAAAGTCTTAATTAGCTCTCATTTTTCCTGGTCTTTTCCGTGACTTCTCGCGTTTCACTTTCATATATTTTTAATTCGTCTAGCAAATGCCTGAAATACTTGCCACTGGGTCTAAAGTTAAGGAAAAACAATAACCCATACAGGATAAATTTTGCCTGGTTTGATTGGCGATATAAAAGGATATAATTTTTTGAAACAAGAAAATCTAGAATAATTATGACGAAATTTGGATTTAGCTGTTTCCTTGTTCAGTTCCAGAAATTTAAAGCTATGAAATAAAGTAAATGACAATAAAATATTAATCACATGTAATGAATGTAAAGCCAGCTCATTAATACGGAGCCCTGTTGGTCTCATGCAGATAAAAAGTTGTGGTTTTTTTGGGTAAAGATCGCATGAAATGCAATCATAACCCTAATGGTACTGACTTGATATCCATAATTTCCAGGGTGTATCACTACCTTTGATAGTTCAAACAAAATAGTGCAGTGAAGTGATCATTATTTAGATCCTATTCAGTCAATGTCACGTAATTTATTTATGATATCTAAAACTTAGACATTCAAGTTACAATTTGATGTGTATTTAAATTACCTTACTTGTCAAGAGAACTTTTTTTGATTTAAAATTACATAAGTGATGCATGGCGTAGTATGAATCTGTTATAAAATAAGTTAAGCTACAAATGTGCAATCATGAACAAAGGTAGCTAACTCCACCTCACATTTATAATTTGCCTAGCTAAATACAATTCAATGTTTTAATGATTGATTGATTGTTGGTTGCTTTAAAACGTCCAGTGGCAAATAGTTCATGCATTTACAGGATGATATATATTTTGAATAAGAAAATGAAAGCAATCTTTACACTTAAGTGCTCACAAACACTTTGATTAAAGTTAAGGACTGAAGATGTAAGGTCTTGCGCTTTAGATTTAAAGTCAAGCGCTGTTGACGTAAAGTCGAGGGCTGGAGATGTAAAGTCCGCTGTAAATCTAAAGTCCACTGCTCCGTACACTTCACACAGGTCCTTTGGGCCATAATAGTTAACATAAGAATACCAGTATTCAAAATACAATTCCCTAAACAAGTTAACCCTGGTGATTAATTTAATACTGATTGAAAAGCGTGCGCCAGATTATTTTCTGTCAGTCATTATCTAAGGATAAACAGTACATTATAGTTATTTACATCCTAATCCTTTGGTGTCTGATGGATATAGTTGCCTACCATCTTTCTTTTATAAGTATAAAAAAATGATAGAAAATAAATCGGAAAGTTTACCTCCAGAAAAAATCTAAGCTTACAGCTGCAAAAGTGTCTGAACACAGTTACATCGTAATTTGGCTACATTTTTAGCTCACCTGGCCCAATGGGCAAAGTGAGCTTTTCTCATCACTTGGCGTCCGTCGTCCGTCGTCGTCCGTTAACTTTTACAAAAATCTTCTCCTCTGAAACTACTAGCCCAAATTTAACCAAACTTGGCTACAATCAGCATTAGGGTATCTATTTTGAAAAATTTGTCCGATAACCCCGCTAGCCAACCAACATGGCCGCCATTGCTAAAAATAGAACATAAGGGTAAAATCCAGTTTTTGGCTTATATCTCTGAAACTAAAGCATTTAGAGCAAATCTGACAATGGGTATAAAATGTTTATCAAGTTGAGATCTATTCGCCCTGAAATTTTCAGACGAATCAGACAACCCGTTGTTGGGTTGCTGCCCCTGTATTGGTAATTTAAAGGAAATTTTGAAGTTTTGGGTTATTATCTTGAATATTATTATAGATAGAAATAAACTGTAAACAGCAATAATGTTCAGCAAAGTAAGATCTACTAATAAGTCAGCATGACCAAAATGGTCAATTGACCTCTTAAGGAGTTATTGCCCTTTATAGTCCATTTTTCGTAAATTTTTGTAATCTTTTACAAAAATCTTCTCCTCTGAATCTAAACTTAGCCTCAATTTTCAATAGGGTATCTTGATGGAAAAAAATTATCCGATGACTCTGTCATCCAACCAACATGGCCGCCATGGCTAAAAATAGAACATAGGGGTTTACTATAGAAGTCTAAGGGAATATTGTAAAAAAAAAAACCAATTTCAAATGGTCACAACTTGAAAACTAATTTGAATAATGATAAGGGGTCTTCAGTAACTATTGTAAGACTACAATGGGATGACATGCTTTTAATTTAACTACTGGGCCAAATTAAACCAAACTTGGCCTCAACCATTATTAGGGTATCTGAATACTATTTATTATAATTTTAACCTTTAAGCTATTTTACATGATTTCGAAAACAACAGTAGATACAGGTGAGCGACACTGGCTCTTGGTAGCCTCTAGTTTGATTTAGCATGGCTTTTGTTTATGTAATGACACATTTTTAAACTACGTTTCTTTGTTAGAACAGGTATAACAGAATTTAAACTTTGTATTTTCCAGGGCTTTTGAATTAGAGGTCACCGAGTAATGAAACTTATCAAAAGTTTATTGACTAATGAAAAAACACAGATGGTGGATTTTCAAAATGGTCCAACTGCCACAGATCATGCGCAATATTGTTCTCATACTCACGGCAACGTCAGTCTGCATACTGCTGTCTATCTTTTACGCAAGCAACAAGCCCTTTTCGAAAGTTTACCATTTATTTAATTCTAAAAAAGATGTTTTTAAACTTGCAAAACAATTAAATAGTGAACGTGTGTTCAAGGCCCAGCAATATATCAATGGATTGAACAAAACAAAGCAGCCAAACTACGACAACCGACCGGAACTTGCAATTGTTATAGTAACCGTTAAAAGAAAAGCGTACGATGCTAGTAGCCTTGGATACGTATTACAGTCCATAGCAGCCACGCATAAACTGTTTGTAAATGATCTTGTCTTCCCTAAGAAAACCATGATGATATGCAATGTAGACTTGGATCCTCAAAATTACACAGAAATTGTCAACTTAAAACCGTTTATTCCGGTAGTGGAGCGATATGGAGCATCCTCTTTACCAATAACCATTAACAGAAGTAGGATAAATATGTATGCAAAAAGAAGATACAATAGTAAATATGACAAAGAGACTGTAGACTATATGTACTGTTTAGAATCGGCTCATTCACTTGGTGCTAGTTACGTGCTGTTAATAGAAGACGATGCTCTTCCTCGGGAAGATACATTAGAAGTTCTCAAAAACAAATTACTCTATCTAAAGAGTAAAAATAAGGAACGTTACTCGTACATTAAGTTGTACTACCCACAAAGATGGCAGGGCTATGCGTACGAATCTACCAGAATACTAGAAATTATAAGTGTAGGGTGTGTTGGGGCGGGATTGGTAGTCGCTATCCAATTTATAACATGTAGAACGAAGTCATACTTTATACAAGTGATGTATTTTTTATGTGGTGCTTGGCTGTTCGTTACAGCTGCTCTTATTATAGCAAGACAAAACGTGTTCGAATTTCATAGAATTTCTAAATATTTATATTCTTTGAGGAGTTCACCTGGTTGCTGTACACAAGCAATGTTGTATACAAGACAATTCATTCCGGCATTAATTGATTTTTTATCAGTGAAACACAAGGCATTGCATACTGACTTAGCCATATATAACTTCACAAATGTGACTGGTATCCCAGCGTACCAGATCGAACCTAATTTGTTTTACCATGTTGGAATGTATACCTCTTTGTCATCATCCGACAAGCATAAAAACGCAGAAGAGTTTATCTTCGATGCATGATAATGCAATTTGATATATTTATTTGTTATTTTTTAAGAATAAAATTGTTTCTCCTTATTAATATTGGTAGTAATCAAGTTAGAGATTGGTTTATGAACACACCCCTGGGAGGTTTTCTTTTTTCAACCCCTCAAAGATCTCGTGATATCGCTCTCATATCAAGTGTGGTATGACGTTTGTTCGATCAGAGACTGGGACAAACTTCAGACTTTGAAATTGCTGCTTCTCCACCAAGCACACTGCATTTAGTTGGTAGTAAGTGCTTTTAAGACTGGTGATCAGAGTCAAGAGTCAGAATAATATATCCGGATAGGATAACATACCTTCATGCAGATTCTTATCGTTTTAGCCAGCACGTTTAAAAAATCTGATTCCTGTGAAACCCTTGCTTAAGTTGGTTGTCGGTTTGGGTTGTTGATTTGTGAATACGTAATCACGTCCGTTCTGTATGGGGACGTTTACTAAGATGCCTCTTCTGGAGAGAGAGAGTTTCGTGCTCGCTACAGGTAAAAGAACTGTTTGCAACAGCTCTTTGAGTGTCCGTAGGTTGCCTGTTGCATGGCAAAATGTATACCCTATCCAACTTACCCTTATTGTACAGTGCCAGCTAATATTCTTGCCGTTCATCCGCCAACCTAATTTGCAGAACCTCATTGTTGAATTGAAACTAATTTGTTCTCGTTCTGAGGCCAGCAGCCGAAGTGAATATCAGTTTTTCAAAAGTCAATTTAACAATATATTTAGCGAAACAAAAAAGAGTAATTGTTTTATTTCATATTCTTAGAGAATTTGATATTTTCAAATGACATTACCACAACTTTACCAAAACTATTTGTACATCAAACATTTTTTTCATAATTATACATGAAAAACATAGCACGTTGAATATAACTTTTCTTCGTGTGAATATGCTGTTTTATTCAAAATGTGATTAATATAGAAAAACTTACTAAGGTAATACCAATGTGGAATAATATTGATTATTTCTAAACAGACAACGAAACCATAAAGACCTGATCTGATGATCTGAGCCCCAAAACTGCAATTTTGACAAATTATGACAAAATTAGTAGTTCTTATCCAAAAAATGTATAAGATGGACATTATTAACCATGACCGAAATTCTTTTGGAAGTAAAGCTATATTGATCTATATTCGATGGTAGATTCCCCTCCCCATCCAAAAAAAAATCACCCCAAAAAACCAAGACGCTTTTTCTTTGCTCAAACCAACAAACCAAGACCTATACAAAGAAAACAAGTCAACCCGTCTCCTAAAAAACAAAATAAGATAATCCCCTTTCTCCCAAAAACACAAATCAAGAAGAGATACCATATCAAGGAAGTACACATGAATTGGAAAACACAACATAACAAAATAACCGCCCTGAAAAAAAAAACCCGCAACAAACAACCTATTACTCCTCCCAACAAAAATAAAAAAAAAAAAAAAAAAAAAAATAACACAAAACTAATCATGACAAAATCCTATTTTCATTATTGCCCCCCCCCACCCCCCCCCCCCCCCCCCCCGCGCAACGCGTTGCGGGGGACATAAAAACACCGGGCGGGCGTCCGTCCGTCCGGTCTTGTTAGCGCTCTCACGTGTACAATACTTGCCAGATTTTTATAAAACTTATATCATAGGTTTATATCAGCAATGTCTTGGACAAGTTCGAAAGTCAGTGCCGATCGTTTATTTTTAAAAGAGTTATGTCCCTTGGAAACATTAAATAAATGGAAAATTACATTGTTAGCGCTCTCATGTGTACAATTCTTGCCAGAATTCTATGAAACTTAAAATCACAGGTTTATATTAGCAATGTCTTTGACAAGTTTAAAAAATCAGTGCCGATCAATTATTATTAAAAGAATTAGGCCCCTTGGAAATACTGATTATATGGAAAATTGCATTGTCAGCGTTCTCATGTGTACAATTATGAAACTTATATCATAGGTTTATATCAGCAATGTCTTTGGCACTTTCGAAAAAAAAGTACTGATCAAATATTTTTAAAGAGTTGTGCCCCTTGGAAATATTTATTATGATAGAAATCACATTGCATTTGCTTTGAAGCCTTAATTTATCTAAGATATTAATAAAAAGTTAAAGAACAAAAAAAAGTGTTTTTTTTAGTTATTGCCCTTGTACCTTGGATAGATAAAATATGTGCAACGCGGGGAACATTGGAACTCTGTTATTTTATTATTATCTATTTTTTTTAATTTTTGTTTTTTTGTTTAGGTTTTCGGTAGTTTTGTCGTAGTTTTAACTTATAGCTCTCTCTATTTGTATAAATAAAAGACAATAGTGCACAACAAAAACTTTATTTAAAAAAAAATGTCTTTGATGGAAACTTTCCCTTGTCTGAGTTTTCGCTGGTAGTCATTCCTTCTGTTGTTAGACTGTAACATTGGCTGTTTACAACAGAAAATATCGTATGTCAGTTGTAACTTAAGATGCACATAGGCGATCTCTAACAAGTTAAAAGTGTCGTCGTAGAAATCTACCGTAAGCAACCGTCATGTTCCAACTACAACTAAGGATGCACACAGGCGACTAACAAGTTCACAGTGAAAACTTGTCAAATTTCAACTGTAAACGACTTTGCGGTTACAGTGAAATGTGTCTCTGTGTATTTCTATTGTAACAAACCAACGCACAAAATCATGTTTTGTTATTTGTTTTATGTTTTGTTATTTGTTTTATGTTTTGTGTTTATTGTTTTATTATTTGTTTTATGTTTTTTTAATTTGATATTCTGTTTTGTTTTGTTTTGTGATATTTGTTTTGTTTATGGTTTTGTTATTTGTTTTTTTTGTTTGTTTTATGTTTTGTATTTAATGTTTTGTTTTGTTTTGTGACTTGGTATATATTTTATTGTTTGTTTTATGTTATTTGTTTTGTTGATGGTCTTGCTATTTGTTTTGTTTTTGTTTATTGTTTATTGTTTTGTTATATATTATGTTATTTGGTTTTTGTTTTTTATTTATATGTTTGTTTTAGGTTTTTAATTTTGTAAGTTGGGAGGGGGATCTGTGTTTATTTGTAAAGAAAAAGACAATAGTGCACAACAAAAACTTTATTTGAAAAAGACGTCTTTGATGGCAACTTTCCCTTGTCTGAGTTTTCGCTGGTAGTCATTCCTTCTGTTGTTAGACTGTAACATTGGCTGTTTACAACAGAAAATATCGTATGTCAGTTGCAACTAAAGATGCACATAGGCGATCTCTAACAAGTTAAAAGTGTCGTGGTAGAAATCTACCGTAAGCAACCGTCATGTTCCAACTGCAACTAAGGATGCACACAGGCGACATCTAACAAGTTCACAGTCAAAACTTGTCAAATTTCAACTGTAAACGACTTTGCGGTTACAGTGAAATGTGTCTCTGTGTATTTCTATTGTATCAAACCAACGCACAAAATCATTACATCCATCTGAATGACACTAATTGCGGGAATGACTGTCACACTATCGCCGTCGCTAAGTTATTTTCTTTAGACGCGGACGTGATAGAGAGCATTCATAGCGATCGTTAACATGGCCTCTTTGTGAAAATGTGTTTCTTTGTAATTTTTGAATGCCAAAACAAGCGTATAGTACAACAAAGGAAAATACGAAAGATGATGAAATCGGTTTTGTGTAAAGTTGTCATTTTGTTATGTTGTTTATTTTATTTGTATCTTTTTCTTCCATTATTTTTTTTGTATTGATTTTTGTATTGATTTGCTTCAAATTATTACAAAAGATACGAAAGTTACCAATGCATATATACGTATTATTTATTTTAATGCTTATATTCTGCCATTGTTTGATTATTGTTGCAATATATGGGGTTGTTGTAATGAAAGTGGAATAAATATACTTAATAAGTTATTAAAGAAATCTGCTAGGGTTATAGGAGAAGCTGACATAATGACATCCTCCACTTTATTGTTGTATAGTTTAAATTGGTTGAATGTGGAAATACGAATTCAATATCAAAAGGCAATAATTGTATTTAAATCATTAAAGGATATGGTTCCTAACTATTTACAAGAAAGCTTTCATATTACTGATTATCAAAATTATAATTTACGTTCAGCTAATAAAAAACTATTAAAATTTCCGAAGCCAAAAACAATTTAAAAAAAAAAACTTTCATATATTCTGGTTCTCAAATGTGGAACAGTTTACCAAATGAAATAAAGATGAGTAATACACTTGGAACTTTTAAAACAAAATGTTACAAAATTTTACGACGAAGGCTGATTAATATGCTTTTTCATTAATATCTATTTAATTTAATTTTGGATGTAACACGTCTTTTGATTGGCTGAAAGTGTTTTGTCTATCAGCTCATAGACATAATTTTAAATAACCCGCTACGCGAGTTATTCAGTGTGCACCACAGTTTTAATGTTATTTCGAATAGACAGAAAAATATTACGGTCATTCCTTAAATAAAATTGTATATTGTGTTCATATCATTATAATATTGTATGTACTTTATGGATATGTTATTATTTTTTTGAGGACTCTCAGGAAGGTTAGTTTTAATTAATGGGATTATCCTCTTGAAATAAAGATTATTTATTTATTTATTTATTTATTTATTTATTTATTTATTTTATGTTTGTTTTGGGTTTTTATTTTTTTTGGGGGGGGGGGGGGGGGGGGGCTGTTTCTTTTTATAAAGATAAAACACAACAGTGCACAGCAAAAACTTTATTTGAAAAGGTCGTCTTTGGTGGCAACTTTCCTTTCCTTTCCTAGACTGACGTTGGCTGATTACAATAGAAAATGTCGTACGTCAGTTGTAACTTATGATGCACATAGGCGATCTCTAACAAGTGAACATTGTCGTGGTAGAAATCTACCGTAAGCAACCGTCATGTTCCAACTGCAACTAAGGATGCACACAGGCGACCTCTAACAAGTTCAAAGTGAAAACTTGTCAATTTTCAACTGTAAACGACTTTGCGGTTACAGTGAAATGTGTCTCTGTGTATTTCTATTGTAACAAACCAACGCACAAAATCATTACATTCATCTGAATGACGCTAAGTTATATTCTTTAGACGCGGACGTGATAGAGAGCATTCATTACGGTCGTTTACAAACATGGTCTCTTTGAGAAAATGTGTTTCTTTGTACTTTTTTAATGCAAAAAACAAGCACATAGTACATATGAGGATGTGGATTGGGTTTACAGAATAGAGAATAATGGGGAAAAAATAAAGAATAGAGAATAATGGGGGAAAAAATAAAGAAAGGAGAAAAATGGCAAAAAAAAAAAAAAAAAATAGAGAATAATGGGGTGCTAAAATATAAAGAATAACTGCAAAAATTAAAGAATTGGGGTAAAAATATACTGGTTACAGAAAAAAACAATGTCCAGAATACAGTTATCAAGTAATTACAGAATAACCTTTATTTTTAAAGATAAAGAATACCGGGTAATGAGCGAAAAAATTAAAGAATACAGAATTGAAGAATCCATACCCTCGTATATACGTTATGATAAAGCCCAAAAATCGCATAAGTTATTGGTCTAACTTTCCGATAAATATAAATTAATAGATACATTTATTTTATGGCCCCGCCGACTTAAATCGGGGCCATATAGTGTTACCCTTATCCGTTATTCTGTCATTCTGTCATTCTGTCATTCTGTCATTCTGTCATTCCGTCATTTCGCAACGAACAGTTATGGGGACTTTTTTTCTAAACGCCTTCACATATTGAGCTGATTTTTAGTATGTGAGTACTATGATGAGTTACAGATCGAGTTTACGTTTAGTTCCGCTCCGCTGATTTTTGTCGAAATTACGGGCTTAGAACTTTGAAAATTTCGTGAAAATAACAGTTTTACGGACTTTTTTTCTAAACGCTTTCACATATTGAGCTGATTTTAGTATGTGACTCTACTATGATGAGTTACAGATCTAGTATATGTTGGGTCCGCTCCACTGATTTTTGCCGAAATTACGGGCTTTGGACTTTGAAAATTTCCACTCTTAAAAATGGCTTCAAGGTTTTTTTCCAATCTGGGCTATTCGTGTCGTTCCGACACATCTAGTTTTAATATCATAAAACAGTGAACGTTTAATTTATAACGCCTTTTACTAATACCTGCCTACCACTGAATTTTGCTTATAGTATAGTCGCGTAATTTCCGCATCCATAGTTTTAACAATTTGACTATATTTTATACAAAAGGAAAGACATTCATTGTGTATTTCAAAATTATTTGCAGAAATATTTTCAATACTAGAACCACAAGCTCAGTCCCTTCCCCCTCATCCTTATTTCCCTTAAATTGATAGGTCGTCTGTAATTATATGATTAAGAAACTCTGTGTTTAAATTCATTTCATTAATTATTGAGAGCAAACGATTACAGTCTATATATCAATATATATCAAATTATTGAAAATTCCGGATTTGATCAACGCAGCGATCGAAACACAATAAATAAATTGAAAGTTTTATATTACAGATAGGCTACATTACTTGACTTGGCCTTGATTTTTTTGGTTTAAACTTTCGCTATAAACACCAACGGTTGTTTCGATCATTTTCAGTTTTAATTTCTTGTTGTTTTGTTGTTAATTTAAATTAATGATATTCTGTTAATGGTTAAATTTTTAATAACAACTATTTTTTCAATCTCCCTTTGAAAGAGGATATGTATGATATATATATGTATTAATAAAATGTACACCTGTAAGGCCGATCTGTCTGATAAATGATGTGTGCTAACCAACCGTAAATATTATGTATTGATCGTTCACATGTTTAGTTTTCTGCAAAAATCCTTATCATAATCGTATATGCATTGTGTAATACCCACCACATGTTGCATTGCCTTTGTTTGTTTATTTTGAAAGATGTCTTCAGAACCTTTGAGCGCCGAATATGCGAAATCAGCGAAGTCTGCATGTAAAGGCTGTATGAAGAATATAGCGAAAGGAGAACTCCGTATTGGATTCGTCGGCAAGGCTAATTTTGGTACAACTGCATGGTACCATTATGATTGCATTTGGAAGAACTACGAAAATCTCAAATCAATCGACAGCTCTAAAACAACAAAAAGTATCGTTCAGGGATATTCAGATTTGAAGGAAGATGAGAAAAAGAAACTTGATGTGGACTTGCCAAAATATTGCAAAGAAGCCGCCGAAAAGGCAGCCGCTGCAGCTAAGGAAGGGCCATTACCAATGGCTACAGAATATGCGAAGTCTGCCAAATCTTCATGCAAAGGTTGTTCAAAGAGTATCGACAAAGGGGCACTCCGTGTAGGATTCACAGGAAAGGCTAACTTCGGTGCTACAGCGTGGTATCATTATGACTGTATTTGGAAGGACTCTGACAATTTAAAGTCGATTGATGGCTCAAAAGCTGCTGAGAAGATCATTAAAGGATATTCAGATCTGCAGGATGAAGACCAAGATAAAATTGAAGCTGACTTGTTGAAGCATTGTAAACCACCAGCAGATAAAAGAAAAGGGGACGCTTCTAAAGGTAAATTTTCATATACTAGTAGCAAAAGAACGAGGTTGAGATGGACTTCTATATCTAACATGTTTAAAGGGGGTGCATGGTCTTTGAGCTCCAACAATGTCCAATGAAAATAAAGTAGTCGGACCTACATCCTTTTTATTTCTTGCTGTCAATTACTGCTTAATTTTTTTCTGACAACTTTCATTTGATCCTGTTTACATGGTTTACATGAATGGTTGTGATCGCCACCCATTTGAGTTGATCTATAGTATATACATGTATATGTAGTATATACGTCTACTCTAATAAAAAAAAATTGTAATATAAGCCACTGAACTTTTTATCCATGAAAGTTACTTATAAGTTATAGTTTGCCGACTTTATCACAATGTAGTTTTAGCAATGACTATGTTGACTTGTAAACAACAAAGTCATAAGATAACTACATCCATTACATTGTCACGAAATTTCTGACTGTATTATTATAAAACAAGTGGGTTTTTTTCATTGTTCCGTGTCGACATGATTTTTCATTTACCACATTTTTTACATAAAGACATAAACGCCAATAGACTGAACATGTCATACAGGAGGGTCTGGATTTGGGGAGGGGGTCTTCATTTCTGTATTCTTTAATTAAGTCTCCCAAACGAAGTTTGGGAAGACTTATTGGTTTTGCTCAGTTCTTATTCTTCTTCTTCTTCTTCTTCCTCTTCCGCCACTTTCAAATTTGAACTTGTCCGCACCCGTTCTCCAAAACCGCTTGTCAGATTAACTTAGGGTTTCACAATATGTTAGACTAACATGTCTAGTGGTGCAATCAGGGTTTTGTTTGTGCAATGGGGTTTATAAAGGGGTACTTTGAGGGGCAAAAAGAAAGGAGGGTTTTACTATAGAACCCTATGGGATTTTATTTTTTAAAATTTTCAAATGATTATAAATTGAAAACCGTTTGTGATAGACACAATCTTTTTAATTGAAAATGTTTTAAATGATAAAGCACATTAAATGAAATACAGGTTAAGTCACCAGGGGTCACCCCCACCCCCTGCCATTTAAGAAAGTTCTAATAACTTGTAAGTGGTCAAGATCCCCACCCCTAAACCATATATATTCTGGTTTGTCATGCTAAGATGGTTTGACTGATATACAGGGTTAGTCCCCAGGGGTCATCCCGACCCCCTGCCATGTGAGAAAGTTCTAATAACTTGTAAGTGGTCAAGATCCCCACCCCTAAACCATATATATTCTGGTTTGTCATGCTAAGATGGTTTGAATTATATACAGGGTTAGTCCCCAGGGGTCATCCCGACCCCCTGCCATTTAAGAAAGTTCTAATATCTTGTAAATGGTCGAGATCCCCACCCCTAAACCATATATATTCTGGTTTGTCATAATAAAGCACATCAAATGAAATACAGGGTTAGTCCCCAGGGGTCACCCCCACCCCCTGCCATTTAAGAAAGTTCTAATATCTTGTAAGTGGTCAAGATCCCCACCCCTAAACCATATATATTCTGGTTTGTCATGCTAAGATGGTTTGAATGATATACAGGGTTAGTCCCCAGGGGTCATCCAGACCCCCTGCGGTGCCATTTGAGAAAGGTCTAATATCTTGTAAATGGTCGAGATCCCCACCCCTAAACCATATATATTCTGGTTTGTCATGATAAAGCACATCAAATGAAATACAGGGTTAGTCCCCAGGGGTCACCCCCACCACCTGCCATTAAAGAAAGTTCTAATATCTTGTAAGTGGTCAAGATCCCCACCCCTAAACCATATATATTCTGGTTTGTCATGCGAAGATGGTTTGAATGATATACAGGGTTAGTCCCTAGGGGTCACCCCCACCCCCTGCTATTTAAGAAAGTTCTTATATCTTGTAAATGGTCAAGATCCCCACCCCTAAACCATTTATATTCTGGTTTGTCATACCAAGATGGTTTGAATGATATACAGGGTTAGTCCCCAGGGGTCATCCCGACCCCCTGTCATTTGAGAAAGTTCTAATATCTTGTAAATGGTCGTGATCCCCACCCCTAAACCATATATATTCCTGTTCGTCATGTCTCGAACATTTGAATGACGTTTAGGGTCAGTCCCCAGGGGTTCCCCCCACCCCCAATGTTCTAGTATCTTGTAAATGGTCGAGATCCCCATCCCTAAACCATAAATATTCTGGTTTGTCATGCCAAGATGATTTGAATGATATACAGGGTTAGTCCCCAGGCATCACTAATGCATATAACTTTACTGGACCAAACCAATTTTCACTGGACTTTGTCCAATGGCAGGCGACCCTGGGAATTACGAATTATGGGAGCTTCGTTTGGGAGACTTCGTAACAGCATCCTGTTACAATCATTTCTTGTTCTGTGGAAATTTTCTCCATTCTTTATTTTTTCTATAATATATATTATACCACCCCATTATTCTCTATTCTTTCTTTTTCCCTTTTTTTGGAGGGTGGGGGGGGGGGGGGGTGGGGTGGGGGTGGAGGCTTATTCTTCACTTTTGTTTATTTTTTTAAACATTTTTCTGTACTATTGGTTCATTATTTCTTTATCATCAAAATCATTATTCTTCAATAATATTGTCTGGCAAATTAGACCATTATTCGTATTGAATGTTTTCATTTTGAACCACATATTGATTTAGGACTTTCAAGAGACTAAAGGTGAAATAATCTATTAAGGCTCCAATACTATTGATTTTCAAAAGATTTCTGAAATGTTTGTTTTCTTTATTCAGACCATCTAAATAGATATAAGAAGATGTGGTATGAGTGCCAATGAGACAACTCTCCATCCAAGTCAAAATTTATAAAAGTAAACCATTATAGGTCAAAGTACGGTCTTCAACACGGAGCCTTGGCTCACACCGAACAGCAAGCTATAAAGGGTCCCAAAAATTACTAGTGTAAAACTATTCAAACGGGAAAACCAACAGTCTAATCTATATAAAAAACGAGAAACGAGAAACACTTATGAACCACATCAACAAACGACAACTACTGAACATCAGATTCCTCTAAACCCTACCATCCAGCTGACGTTAAACGAAGTAAAAAAAAAACCACACCATAATTTTGGCCTTATTGTACATTCACGGGATAAATCTCCATGGTAATAAACGAGTCTATTTGTTATACACGGGGTAAATCTCCATGGTTACCATGATGTCTTTTCTCTGGTTTGGATAACGTTTAATATTTGTGTATAAACCCCTTATGATAGTCGCTTTATATTCGACTTCTGGCGTAAGGGTGTGGTCATATCGTTTGCACGACTGCACTTTTTAATTTAATTTTTTCATACCTTGTAATAATTTAATTTTGGATGTAACACGTCTTCTGATTGGCTGAAAGTGTTTTGTCTATCAGCTCATACTAAGACATAATTTTGTCATGTGACCGTGACATTTTTTATGTTATTTCTTCATAGACAGAAAAAATATTACAGTCATTCCTTAATTAGATGTAGATATGCTTGATTTCACGACGTTTCCGTCTGTCATATGTCAAAAGGTCTGTGACCTCATTTTCATGGTTCAGCGACTGCTGTATAATTTGCGGTCATGTGGATGTCTTATTAGGAGTAATAGAATTATAATATTTTGTAGATGGCATCCTTACAAGGTCTAAATGTCCGCCGGACAGGGTTCATCTGACTATGATCTCATTTCATGGATCAGTGACCAGGGTTAAGATTAAGCGATAAGGTCCTTTTCTCAGATACAATGAGCAGCAGGTCAACTTAATTTGGTGTATAAAATGATTGTAAGTTGTACAAGGCGGTCTGGCAGGTATCATCACACCTTGACCTAATTTTCATGGTTCAATTGTCAATGTCAAGTTTCCGTAGTTTGGTTTTTTTCCCCTTTTTTTCACATACTACCGGTATAAGGTATATGTCAGTGGTGTATGAATTGATTTTAAGGTGTACATGTATCATGTTCGGCAGATTTAATCTGACCTTGACCTCGTTTTATCCTGGTCTTAATCCATGTACATGTATCATATAAGTATTGTGTTATTAATATGATAGTACTCAGGAGCTTCATAAATAAGAGGGAAGACGAAATTTTGTCTGATCCATTTAGCTGCTTTGAACAAATAAAATGTGTATAAACTATCAACTACAATCCTCCTTATAGCCTTCTTATTGGCAATATACTTTAAATAGATTTGATCGTACATTTCAAGTTATGAATCGTGTTCCTAATTAAACTAGGAAGGCAAATCTCTAGATAAGTTTAAGGAGATGTCGTATGATTGCCTAAGAGACATCTATATACAAGAGACTAAAGGACGAGGATGTTAACAACCACATGTGTACAGCCTTCAACAATGAGCAAAACAAACATCGTATAGTAAGCCAGAAAAGGCTCTGGCATGACAAAATGTGAAACAACTCTAAAGAGAAAAACATCTGCCTGATTAATGCTAAAAGCAATTAACGAAAAACATAATGACAGACAGCAACCAACGACTACCACTGGATTTTTCCAACTCTGTTTATGCTGCTGGGTTTGATGCTTCCTTACGATGTTTATGAAGCTTACAATGCTTATTTTGATGGGAGAATATGAGTAAAGCTATTTAAGGAACACAAGTCTTGTTCTGATACATTTATATTCCGTAAGTTTACATTTCTTGTATCTTTTCTTTTAGATGGTCCAACAGCTGCGAAGAAGTCTAAATAGGACATCACGTGTACAGATGAAGGACATATGAATATAATTCGTGAGAACTTCATGTGTATTGGATGTTCATATACGCGTGCGTTCGTCTACATTATATGTGCTTAAAGCTTTCTTATAATTCTGTTGGAGTCAAGTGGACTAACTAGTGAGGGTGCTCGGTTTTATATTATTTTTCCTAAGAAGGAATGTGACTGTCATGGCAGCAGTTTGAATGTGGTTAACAAAGATGACTGAAAGTTTATTTTGCATTGCAAGTTGTAACATAGTTTATACGCCTAGTCATTTTATTCATTTAAAAATAAAGCTTTCAGAAAAGTTTGCTTTTCTATTCAAGTGCCCAAAATTATTGGTATGTATCAGTATGAATAAAAGGAGTTTTGGGTTATACGTCAGTGGGACAGCATCCCAACGACACAAATAACCAGAAGACATTTAGAGGACAACTACAGTCTTCAACAATAGGTATAGTGTCCATACGATGTTTCAAGCTTTAAATCATCCAGAGTCTAAAAAAGTTGTGAAAAAAATAGTAACTATCCAAGATTAGCTTTATTTGTTCTTGTCATTGAAAAAAGAATATTGATTATCAACAATAATTATTTATTACGCTGTCGGATCCGACGGGGGAGGGGCTTTGGTGGGGAAGGTATCTTCTTAAAAGATTTAAAAAAAAAATAGAAATTTAAGAAATGAGGATCACCATGGTTTAAGCATTTTTACCAGCCAATAGAAATTTGCACAGTAAAGAGGGATCTTATATTCGACTTTATTATAGGGATAATTGCGATAATTTGTTTAAGTAAGTTTTCTTTTCACATGTAAAACAATATGCGATATCTGTATTCGTTGTGTGTGATTAAAGAATTATATTTGTTATAAAAAAAAGTTTCTGTGATCTATTAAATTATATTAGAGGATCAAATCTAAAGAAATAAAACTAATTTGGAGTTGCCTTACAGACTGATTATGATGGCTATACTCTGAGGTGATTCATTGAGGCGGAATTTCCGGATCATACTTATGAACAAAAATGTAACAACTGATGGCAATCCTTAATAATTGTGAGGGTGGAGTCTTTCTGTTCCGCTAAATTAGACAGAAGAGCGCAATACTGTGACGAACTTTCACAACCAGTGAATACAATATAACCAGTAATTTAATTTCTACAAAACTAATAAATTTCAGTAATACATTTCTGATGAAATACAATCGAAAGGAGAAAGTAGTTTATTGTAAATAACATAGCAAACATTATAGCGATTTTTTTTTTAATTTTGTAGCGTTTTTCGAACATAACTGTCTTCGACGATGCATGTATGCAAGGTCGGTCATAAATACAACTTGAATTCAGAAACATCCAATCATTCAGTGCAAAGCATGAGGGTCTGGATGGTTTAATTTATGTATATTCTTTATTTTAAGCCATATTTTCTGTTTGTTACCCATTATTTTTATTATTCGGTATCTCTATCTTTCTCTACTCTTAATTTTTTGCCATTTTTTTTCTTTTCTTTATTTTTGGCATACTTTTCTCCATTCTTAATTTTTTGGCCCGTTTTTCTCTATTCTGTAAACCCTATCCACACCACCAAACACGTACATAAACATTCAATATGGTGCACAAGTGTTATATATTCTAGCATATAACGTGAATTAAATTCCTATAAAAATTAGGAACATGAATTAGAATCAAACGTATATACAGTTATCTTTTTCCCATGAAAAGTACTAACAAATCGTCAAAATGACGTATGAGAAAAGAGTCGGGTTTATTTCATATGTATACATATGTAGATTTTAAGGAATGTTTTTCTTTATTACAACTGTTGCCATCACTAAGCGTTTCATCGTCGGTCGTTCGTTCTCCGTCTAAACTGCTTTTAAAACCTTGATTTCTGAAACCACTAGGCGAATTGAACCAAATTTCCCTTTTCCTGAATGTGATCTACCGAATGGGACTTATTACCGGATTTGTACTAACATGAGCAACACGACGGGTGTCACATGTGGAGCAGGATCTGCTTATCCTTCCGGAGCACCTGAGATCACCCCCAGTTTTTGGTGGGATTCGTGTTGCTCAGTCTTTAATTTTTTATGTTGTGTTTTGTGCACTATTGTTTGCCTGTTTGCCTGTTGGTCTTTTTCTTTTTTAGCCATGGCGTTGTCAGTTTATTTTCGACTTGTGAGTATGAATGTCCCTCTGGTATCTTTCGCCTCTCTTTTAGGGAGCCTACCGTGTAAAAGTTAGGTCTGATGCCATTGCTATTAAACCAACCTGGCCATTATGGCTAAAAAAACACAAATGGCAGTGCAAACAATGATATTTTTTACCCAAACGCCTGTGCTAATTTTCTGTTACATAGTTTGTTTTGACCCCTTTTTCTCTATTTTTTGTATTATTTTTGTTCGCTGTATACTTTCGTTAGACAATATATTTATGATTTAACGTATGAAACAAAGTAGTTTAATAATATAACAAAAATCAAAAGTATTGGATACAGTTTTGTGTAGCATTTTTATCTGTCACAAAGCAGGATTTTCTACCGTGACATTCTTCTATCCTGTCCCGGTGAGAGAAAAAAAAAACAGATGTTTTTGCAAGAGTCGAATATATATAAATTGTTTTATGATACTAACTAATGCAATAGCTAGTCGCTCTTTTTGCATATACATTATACCTGAAACTTTTTGAAAAGTTCAAGAAAGGCCTTGGCGGTAGGGTTCGAAAGCCGCCATAGTCAAACAAACAAAAAACCGAATATGTGTGTGTATATGTCTAGTACAAAGCAGGGTCTATTCATATCTCATTAACATGTTATCGTTCTGAATATGCCGCGGCATGCAATATTTGCGGACATTGGATTGATCGTTGGTTGCTTAACGTCCAGTGGCAAATATTTCATGCATGTTCATGACGAGAACAAATTAACAATAAATAAAATAGGTAGGTCCTGTAATAGAGGGCGGCCGTTCGGGAAGCTTGATCCGAATTGAGAAGAAGTGATATCACCGGCAGGTCGTATCATTGTAAGCATTATGGAAATAAGGATATTTGGTATGATTACCAATGAGACAACTTTCCACCAGTTGAGGCCAAAGGACGAGGGTGTCTTTGTTTGTTCGATATCAGGAGATTGCTAACTAGAGATTCACAAAAACTGTCAGACTCGGAGTTCAAGTACGAGTATGACCTGACGACTACAAATCATACAGGTAAGCTATAAGGGTGATTTTAAAATAATGTGTAAGTTAATTAATTTTACCGTGTTTATTCTTTGCATGGTGATAGGACAAAACCATTTATTAAATCAATAGACTTTTCTTTTTAACTGAAGGGTACAGTGTGCGTTTTTTTTGTTTAAGCTCGCGTACAGATATGAATTTAAAATCTTTCACAACAAATAATTAGTGCTCCAGTTATATGAAATTTTTTACCGATTACATTAAAAAAACAACCCCTTTTCAAATTTCAAAAATGGTCCTTTCATAACTGAAAAGAATTGTTTAAAAGGGAATTGGATATTACTATTGTTCAGTTCTTTTAATTATTTTGTTTTTGTTATTGGGCTATTTGTTTCCACTCTGTATAGTCTTGGAGACTAGAACGGAGCCCCTTCAGTGCTATGTAAATATGAATATTTTCGTTTGCCAGAGATTTAATCTGGTGCGCACCAGTTTGCAAAATCGTGCACACGACTTTCGAAAATGGTGCGCACAACTTTCAAACTAGTGCGTACGACTTTAAAACTCGTGCGCAAGTTCTTATAGAGTCAGTCAAACATTGTTTGAGTTTTGCGCACGAGTTTCAGTTTTAAAGTCGTGCGCACCAGTTTTTAAAAGTTTAAAATGTCGTTCACACAAGCTTAAAATTCGTGCGCGCTAGTTTTGAAGTAGTGCACACGAGTTTCAAAGTCGTGCGCACGATTTTTAAAACTGGTGCGCACCATATTAATTGTGACAGTATAATAAAATTTGATCAATAAGTTTCAGCAGATGTGGGAATTTTAATGACAAAGAGTTTGGGAAATTCAGAGAAGATCGTTGCACAACAAATTAAAAAATTATGACCCTTTGATATATCACAATTGGTCAATTACTACCTATTGATTTATTTCCTCGGTAAAATTGCACCCCATTAATATATTTGACGTATCAAAAGGGACCCATTCCAGCGGCACATATGTATATACCTTCATATAGGAAGAGACCCCCCCCCCCCCCCCCCCGTGTATTCCATAATCTATCCGAAACATATCTTATATATGATTGATTTATCAGACAGCTTTACAAGATATCTTACTTAGTTTATAAGATATATCGTATTGAGTTGATAATTTAAGATATCTTATTACATTTGTAACTTGATGATCCGTTATAATTAAGATACCTAACGTTAGAAAATGAAATAATATATAAAACTGCTTGCCGTAGTCGTTTGTTTTTTTCTGCCTTGCTGACTGGGAATTAATGAAATTTTGATCTGACGTAAAGCAAAAGAAAAAAATCCAGGCATGACATTTTTCTTTATCATTATCACAAATATATCCTAACTCGAATAATTCAGCGCCCTCTATCCACTACTTTTCTCGTAGTGATCGTAATAAAACGACTGGATTATTCAGGTTAAAATATATCCGCGTTTTCATGGTCCGCATTCAGGTCAAATTAGCAGAGTGTCCTGTCCGCGAAACACAATCGTGGTCCCAAATGCGCTTCAATGACGTCCTACTTTCATTTCTCCACAATGTGACCTGATTCCTGACACCGACTGGGGAAAGTAGTGTTGAGCAACAACAGTAATTTTTTTTCTTGATCGGTGATATTTAAAAGCTGTATTGAGTTATTCAAATCTCATTCTCTGACCATGTTTACATTTCAAATTTCTGATTTTAAGTTATGCAATTTTAACCCATTGTTTTGCTTGCACAAATTAATATGCTAGCTGTCAGACAATGTCAGAAATTATAATTAATTATGCATTGAATTCATACATTGAACCAGAGACATATATATATATATATATATATATATGTCTCTGATTGAACCAAGAAACAATATTCATAAAAAATAACTAACACTTTTAGTTTGAACAGCATTAACTGAGAAACAAACATTCAATGATTCATTTTAAGATGTTGAAGGGAGATAATCATAGCTCATTATAGCTACTATGGCCCAGTCAAGCTATATACAACCATTTACATGAAGCCTTATTTGACACATCTTCTCTCTATATGGAGTATAGGATAAATTTCATTCTGACAAAAGAAATATTTTGTATGAAGCAGATAACTTGATGAACTTGAAGGTTTGAGTGTAAGACATCTATCACTCCCATCTTGTCAATCATATTCCAAACATCACTGAACTCTGGAAAGATCCCAGATGACTGGCGTCACGCAAGTGTATGTCCAGCATTCAAAAAAGGCGACAAACACGACCCTATAAACTATCGCCCCATATCATTGACTTGCATCTGCTGCAAACTATTTGAACATGTTGTAGCTAGTAATATAATGAAACATCTGGAAAAAAATAAAATTCTATATGACTTACAACATGGTTTTCGATCATCTCACTCCTGTGAAACTCAGCTAATATCATTTATTCAAGATCTTGCAAATTCAAATAATAAAAACATTCAAACAGACATCATAATAATGGATTTTGCAAAAGCATTTGATAAAGTTTCACACCACCATCTCATGTATAAAATCGGTTTCTACGGTATAAATTGCAATGCATTACATTGGATTCAAGATTTTTTAACAAACAGAACACAAACAGTAGTCCTTGAAGGTGAAACATCAAATAAAATTCCGGTAACATCTGGGGTACCTCAAGGCACAGTGCTTGGTCCAATTTTATTCTTAATATTTATAAATGATTTGGCAGAATATATTGAACATAGTACATTAAGATTGTTCGCAGATGACAGTATTATTTATAGGGAAATTAAAAAACCAGATGACACATATAAATTACAGTCTGACTTGGAAGCGGCGGCAGATGGGAGCAGGACTGGCTCATGCATTTTCACCCTGATAAGTGCAACATTCTCAGTGTAACTCAAAAACGCAAACCTTTAGACTTCACTTATAAATTACACAATCACTCTCTAGAAAAAGTTGACTCTACAAAATATTTAGGCCTAACTCTTCAATCAAATTTAAAATGGGACAAACATATCAATAACATGACATCAAAAGCAAATCAGTCTCTTGGATTTATTCGTAGAAACCTTAAAATAGCCTCACCTAAAGTTAAAGCACATGCATTTAAAGCTCTTGTCCGACCAAAACTAGAGTACTGCTCAACTATTTGGGATCCACATCAAAAACAGCAAATTTCACAAATTGAAAAAGTTAAGAGAAGAGCAGCACGCTTCTCATGCAACCGCTTCCATAACACCAGCTCAGTTACTGAAATGTTGACAGACTTAAATTGGTACCCACTTGAAATTAGGCGTTAACGATAAAGACTTGTCTTCTTCTACAAAATTATACATGAAATTGTTGCAGTCCCTACATATAACCTTTTGATCCCACTAGATAATAGAACTAGACATAGCAATCCACACTCATTTAGGCAAATACAAACATCTAAAGACAGTTATAAATATTCATTTTATCCACGAACAGTTATAGATTGGAATCTTCTGCCACAACAAATAGTATCATGCAGTACAGTACAGGGATTCAAGAGTATGATCTCAGAATCTGCTCTCATCCCCATTTTCTATCCCTAACTATTTTGTTATCAAATGTATATAGTTTTATCTAAATGAAATTTTACAAATGCACATACATTATTTTGATTTTTTGATTTTGTTTCTTTTTATTTTTCTTGCTACAATGTAAATTATAAAATTTTATAGTCGACGCCCGGCGAATAATCTTCAATAATTGAAGGATCGCTAGAAACTTAAAGAAGAAGAAGGTTGGAAACAGCTGCCAGTGCTGTTTTACATTTCATGGAACAACTGAAAGTGCATAGAAATTAAAAACTATTACTTTTCTTCACCATCTTTGATAGATTGATTGATTGTTAGTGTTCAACGCCACTGTCGGCACTATTGGCTCTATATCATGTCAATCAGTTTTTATTGGTGGAGTAGTGCCGACAGACAAAATGAGAGAGAACCACCAACCTTGGGCAGAAAAACTGATAATCCTAGTCAATTAAGATGGGAGTCGAATGCACCTGCCATTTGCAGTGTTAGAACTCTCAACCTCAGTGTTGACAGGCTTGTTATACATGTAAAATAGATGAGTTACTTAGACCACTTGGCCACTGAGCAATACTGAGGTCCCATCTTGGATAGAGATTTCATTTTAGGCTTAGGTTTTCTAATCTTGTTCAAATTGTTTTAGATTTTGTCATGCCAGGGCAGTTTAAAGCTCACAATATGGTATGGGTTTTGCTCATTGTTGAAGGCAGTATATTCACTATATTGACCTATAGTTGCATACATAGACATACACCTTCTTTATTATCTGGTGGATAGTTATCTCATTGATATTTATACTGATCACATCTCCTTATTTTTATTAACTGTCAATTTTGGACCATTAAAGTTTTCTCTCAAAGACATATATGTTTTACTTGGTCAGACTTCTGTTTAAATCAGGCTGGTTTCTCTTTTGAATTGTTTTTACATTTTGTCATACATATATCTGGGCCTTTTAAATCTTACTATACTGTATGGGTTTTGCACATGGTTGAAGGCCTAAGATGACATCATGACATGTAATTGTTCACATCTTTGTGGTTTGGTCTTTATGGATAGTGGTGTCATTGACAATCATGCCACATCTCCTTATTTCTTATTTGGATTATTTATCAAAACATATTTATATATATATAAGAAGATGTGGTATGAGTGCCAATGAGACAACTCTCCATCCAAGTCACAATTTGTAAAAGTAAACCATTATAGGTCAAAGTACGGCATTAACACAGAGCCTTGGCTCACACCCAACAGCAAGCTATAAAGGGCCCCAAAAATGACTAGTGTAAAACCATTCAAACAGGAAAACCAATATAGCCTAAATAGGACATTTCATAGATGTAGCTTTTGAAAAATGTTGATAAACCAAGAGGGTTTGAAAATTGACCTTTATTTGACTTTGCGTTAAAAGTAGTGGTGTGGGATCACTTTCTTTTACAATTGATAACAAAACATTCAAAAGATAATATATTTTTTTCTTCATCTATGATGTAACCATGAATTTGAAAACACCATGTGAAGCTCTTAATCATCTTGAGTTTAAAAAAGTTGTGAATAAATTCACAGAAACTTTCTTAGATAACATTGTTTTAGATATTTTGCTTTTTAACTAAAACCAATATGGAGGATATTAGTTAATACTAATGGAGGAAATCTAATAAGTCAATTTATGGTTGTATTGTAATATGGAAAAAAATGAGTTGCATGGGACATAAAAAGTTTAACTATTGATTTTCCCTTTAGCTAACATTTAATTTGAAATTAAACATGCATTATTACTGGTATTCATACCCCAGGACTCCTACTTTAAAGCAGGATGTGTATAGTGATGGGGGAGTATGTCTGTACTTTTATTCGCCATTCTGTCCCACTTTTGAAGCTGCAACTGCCCCTGAACGCTTGACAGAATTTGTTACACTTTCACAGAATCTTACTAACATGATGTACTTTTGAACCTTCTATTTCATTTCTTCATCTGAATGTTTTTTTTTTGTTTCTCTAAGAAAATCATGGACTTTGAAATGAGAGGAGGTATCTGTTTGTAAGCTTTGCTAGCAGTACCTCTTATTTTTTTATGAAATTTTTATAATAGATAAGTTTCTTGTAAGTATATATGTCATGCTTGCTCATAGGCAGCGTCAACTTTTTAACCTCCATAGGGTTTTCTGTAATATTAAATTATTGTACCTGTAAATGATTAATTCTTAAATTTTCACAATCAACATTTTGAAAAATGTAATTCAATTATTAATTAATTATGCAGCCAAAACATCAGAACATGTTGTCTGGGTGCTCACAATTATATGTGTATAAATCAAGCAATAATTGTTGACTATAATGTGTCCATTTTTACAGGAACATAAAGTAGGATGAGAAATTGGTGACAAATGGAGAAGTTCAAGAGACTAGTCATCAGTAGGTAGACTTTCCTCAAATTTTACAAATAAAAGAATATCTGGAGCCTTTATTGATGTCTGTGCTGTTTTAAATTCTGATGGAAATTATGTTGATTGATTGATTATTGGTGTTTAACACCACTATTGGTGGAGGACCCTGTAGTACCAAGAAAGAACCACCAACCTTGGCAGGAAAACTAATAATCTTAGTCAATTAAGATTTTAGTCAATCACTCCTGCTATGTGCAGGGAGAGAACTCAACTTGACAGGCTAGTGATACAGTAGATGAAATACTTCGACCACTGAGACCTCTAAATTAAGTTGACTACCCTTTTGGTTGAAGAAGCATTTTGTGTCCTAAAGATGAAGCATAAGCATAAAAGTTTTATTGATAAAGTCGTTGCATCATAGACATAATATAAGCTCTGACATCCAAATAATAGACATATACATTTAACATGTGTAAATGCAATGGTAATAATAGACATATGCAATACATGTATACATGCAATGATAATAATAGATATGTACAATACATGTATAAATGCAATGATAATAATAGACATATGCAATACATGTATAAATGCAATGATAATAATAGACATATGCAATACATGTACATGCAATGATAATAATAGATATGTACAATACATGTATAAATGCAATGATAATAATAGACATATGCAATACATGTATAAATGCAATGATAATAATAGACATATGCAATACATGTATACATGCAATGATAATAATAGATATGTACAATACATGTATAAATGCAATGATAATAATAGACATATGCAATACATGTGTATCTGCAATGATAATAATAGACATATGCAATACATGTGTATATGCAATGATAATAATAGACATATGCAATACATGTGTATATGCAATGATAATAATAGACATATGCAATTCGTGGGTAAATGCAATCAGGCCTGGGGTAATGGTAATTTGTAATTGTAATGCATTGTAATATTACATTTTTTTGATGTAATGCAAAGTAATTTGTAATGCACATTTTCTTCATTACAATTACATGTAATGTAATGAATACTTTAGTTAAAAATCAATGTAATGCCTCCATTACTGTACATTACTTTTCATTACAAATTGGTAAAATACATAAAATTGAAGAATATAGTAAAATAAAAATAAAATATTAACAAAAACAAAAGAAAATATTGAATAACATTATTGTCACAGTTAATTACTGTATTAAATCATTATAGATAGTTTGCCCTTAAAAAATCTTCTAAAAATAATTATTAAACAAAACTATATAGATGAATGGACAAAATATGAATATGTCAATCAACATTTTTACACCAAACTGTGGTTGTTATTTTACCTAATTAATATCAAAATGTTTTTATTGCAATCAAACTTATGCTTGTCCTCACAGAGCCCTTAGGCATTTAACAAGATAATCATCTAATTGCACATTTATTATATCCCTTTGAAATCCCTTTATGATGTCTTAATGTTTAAGTGATCAATGTTAGAAACAAAATTATATGATAATTTATTTATTTTTCAAGTATTTGAAGCAAGGGTCCGAAAACGGTCATATTTGCCAGTCATGTCCTAAACTGAAAGCTATATGTCCTAAACGAGTTATTGGGATTTAGGACAAATTTTATTTTTTAACAGAAATAATTTCGGTCATTTCATTGACTCAATGCTTGAAATCGGATTTCTGAATCGCCATTTTGCACTTGTGATCACTTGTTTTTGTTAATAATCCCTTTCCTGTAATAAAACTGCCACTCCAGTATAGTTTGATAATCCTGAGGGCCCTCCTAATAACTATATCAAAGCATTTTGAGTCATTAAAATCATTTCAATTTTAAACTGTTACCTTCCCTAAACTGTTCTTGAAGGTTTTAGAAAAATGGTAAGAAATTTACTTAGTAAATGCGATGAAACAGCAATTCAAGTTTGTTGATGCTATGAGTATGAATCTAGTTTGACATCGACAATTTGAAAAGAGGCACCAACTTTTCAATCATCTCAAAATGACCGAAATTGTGTGAAAAAATTTCCGGATCCTTGATTTGAAGTCTATGTCACTAACACTGTATATATATGTACATATACCCCAGTAAAATTTATCAATTTCTTATAAAAATCTGTTTTTTAAATGTTTTTATATTGAAAAAAGTAATGTGTAATGTAATGCATTACACAGGCAAAGTAATTGTAATGTAATGCATTACATGTGAGAAAAATTGTAATTGTAACTGTAATGGAAGAATCACAAAGTAATTGTAATGTAATGCATTACATTGCAATGTAATGGCCCCAGGCCTGAATGCAATGATAATAATAGACATATGCAATACATGTGTAAATGCAAGCAAAGACATACAGAGCAAGCAATATTTATATTAGTATGCAAGCATTATTGAGTGAGACAAGAAATGCACATAGCAAATTAATAAGCACTGATAATATAAGCATATAGCATAGGAAAACTAGGTAATGGAAAGTGTACTGCAGACGTCTATTCTATTTGTTGATATGTAGCAGAGATATTTTTGATTGGTAAAACTCTCAGTTTGTTCCTCTGCCCACCCTTTAAAGTTGACATACTATTTCTTTTGTCGTATTAAAATTCTTGCAGGTGGAATCTGTTGGTAAAAGCAGATAGACTTTTGTATTCGACTTTTCTATCATCAGCTCAGTAGTCAGTGCTTCATTACTGACATCATGGACATGATTTATAACAAGACTTTCTCAATTTAAATTGTCCAGTTATGAATTTATAAGTATGAAGAAACTAAGGTTTCAACTTCCTCAGGCAAAGTTATCTTTGCTGGATTTGGCTATTTTTTATACGACCACAAAACAATTTTTGTGGTCGTATATTGGTATGACGTTGGCGCCGTCGTCGTCGTCGTCGTCCAAAGACACATTAGTTTTCGCACTCTAACTTTAGTTTAAGTGAATGAATCTCTATGAAATTTTACCATAAGGTTCAATACCACAAAAGGAAGGTGGGATTGATTTTGGGGGTTATGGTACCCACAGTTAAGGAATTAGGGGCCAAAAATAAGCAATTTTTCTAGTTTCATGACAATAACTTGTGTGTAAGTGTATGGATCTTTATGAAATTGTACTGCAAGGTTCCATATCACAAAGGGAAAGCTGGGTTTGAGTTTGGGGGTAATTGCCCGAAACGTTTAGGAATTTGGGGCCAAAAAGGGGCCAAAAAACAAGCATTTTTCTAGTCTCCAGACAATAACTTGTGTTCAAGTGTATGGATCTCTCTGAAATTGTACTGCAAGGTACCTTACCACAAAGGGAAAGCTGGGATTGAGTTTGGGGTGATGAATCATAAGGGTGTTCAAAAAATGGGGGGGGGGGGGGGGTTTCCTTCTTTTTTCTTTAAAATTTCCATTTTAAATTGGTTATTTCTGATTTATATATAAAAGCAAATAATAATGATATGGTTTGAATAGGTAAATTAAAAATTTTTAAGTTCTTAGACCACTTTCATTCTGTGTGAGAAACCTATGCTGTGTCAAATATTTAATTACAATCCAAATTCAGTGCTGTATCAAGCTTGAATGTTGTGTCCATACTTGTCCCAACTGTTCAGGGTTTGACCTCTGCGGTCGTATCAATCTGCGCCCCAGCGGAGCATTTTATTAGGTACTTTTTTGTCATATAGTTCTTCAACTGCTTAGGTTCTTATATATACTTGGATTTCATAATATGTGGCTTTGAGCATTTATGATGAAAGTAAATCCAGAAAAGCACTTCGAACGCATGAAATTTTCAAAGTGTTGTTTTTGGTATTTTCTGCAAAAAATAATTAAAGTTTAAAATTTGTGTCTACATCGATGAGCTACCCTCCAAGGATTGGGTGATAAAGCAAAATCAGCAAAAGCTGTGTATATTTGGTAAACATTTATTTGTTAGTTGCTTATCTTTGTTAGCCCTTTCTATTAACATCATTTAGTAGGATGTTTTATTTTTGTTTATTTTTCTAGGTTGATAATGTTGAAAACCATCTTAACCATTTTCAACGCAAAGTGACGATCAAACTAGAATTCATTCAACAATGGGAGAGGAAACATTTTGGAAATCCCTTTGTGGTCACCGTGACAACATGACAGCCTGGCGTCATGGAGATTTTGGTCATTGTTTTGAACATGTTGTGATAGTCCTTCCAATCCATGTGATACTGATATTAGTGACAACATTCCATATTGCTCGGACAAGGAGGGTATTATTTTACGATTCTGTCTCATTACCAAATCATGTCAGATTGCGACTATTTATAACGGTATGTCTCACGATCCTGCCAATTGTGCAAGTGACTGTCAGTTACTTTGTAAATCACGTAAAGCTAAGTGCTGTTGACATATTAGATTTGTGTGTTCTGACATTATGTTGGTGTTTACAATCAGTGTATATTTACCGATTGAAGTACATGTTTTGGGAATCATATAGAGGACATGTTGTAAATATCGTTATTTATTTAATGTTATTTGTATCAGTATGCTTTGAGTTGTATTCAGCAATTTTAAATACATTACAAAAAAGACATTTAATTGAATCTTATTGTATGTTTGTAACATTTGGAGGTCATATCTTGTACATACTAACCTTGACATGTAGAGGTCAAAGAGAATTAGAAACTGGATTATTACATGGCACCATAAATGTTTCACCATCAGAAACTATGAATTTCGCTCAGACTTATCATTCATATGGTTCCATACCAATTCAAGAAAGGGAGATAACTCAAGCAGAGAGAGGGGCCTCATGTTTTTCTAGACTTACATTTTATTGGGTTAGAAAATTAATGTTGAAAGGTTCTAAGCAACAAATAAGGTCAGCAGATGATATATTTTTACTGCCAGGAAGGTTAAATACTGTAAAAGTGAACGCTTTATTTGATATTTGTCTTAAATCAAAGGAGACCGTTAATTCATCAAGCAGTTCATCAGATGTACCACAAGTCCAAATTCACTTGCCAAAACAGAACAGAACATTAATGAGAGCTTTGCATCAAGCATTTGGTGTTGAGTATTACTCATTAGGGATTCTTAAGTTATTGGCTGACGGGGCAGGATTTGCTGGCCCTATTCTTCTAAATTTTCTGGTAACATTCATCGAGGAGAAAAAAGACCCTAAATATTATGGATATATTTATGCTTCTTGCTTATTAATAGCAACACTTATTGGATCATTTTTATCAACACAATTTGATTATAATGTTAAGGTTGTAGCTTTTAAAATCAGGACAGCCATAATAACCACCATTTATCGAAAGTCTCTGACGGTTAGCAGTGTATCGGCATCAGACTTCAGTTCTGGAGAAATCGTTAACTTCATGAGCACAGATACTGATCGGATAATCAATTTCTGTCCAAGTTTTCATGCTGTATGGAGCTTACCATTCCAGATTGGTGTATCATTGTTTCTATTATATCAACAAGTGGGATTGGCTTTTCTAGCCGGACTTGGATTTGCCTTAATTCTTATTCCTATAAATAGATGGATAGCTAACAAGATTGGAGAGCTTAGTACAGATATGATGGCACAAAAAGACAACAGGGTCAAGGTAAGTTAAGTACTGGGTACTGTCCATCTTGAGGCCAGAAAACAGGGTCAAGGTAAGTTAAGAACTAGGTACTGTTCATTCTTAGGCCAGAAAACAGGGTCAAGGTAAGTTAAGTATGGGATACTGTCCATCTTGAAGGTAGAAATGTAATATGTGTGCTTCCCCTACCATGCTATACCTTGCTGCAAAGTGTGAGCTCAACAGTTTCTGGTTGAAGATATTTTGGCAATTATCGAGATGAACAACAGCAGTTAATCCAATTCTTTAAATTTAGTGATTAATTCCAATTATTCTACAAGATTATTGTATTATGTGCAAGAAGAAGAACAGTATTAATACCCAATGAATAAAAGTGAATTTAAGATATTCAGAATTTTTGTTATGTTTTTATTATTGAAAAAAATGCAATGGGATAGTTGTTGCGAAAACAAAAACTTGCATTTAAAGTTTTGATTGCGCTATTTGCATACTGCATTTCCTGAAATCGCAATAATTAATATCACATTTTTGTCCACGGTGTTTAACAATCACAATGCAAAAATATCTGAATTTATTGTAAACAGTTGTGTTAACCTGGGAACAGTATATCTAATATACGTCAATATTATTAATATATGTCAATATATATGTTCCTGTGTAAACTTATACCATAACATAATCTTTTTGATATTTTACAGATGATGAATGAAATACTTTATGGTATAAAAGTTGTGAAATTTTATGCATGGGAGGACCATTTCAAAACAAAGATAGAAGAACTAAGACATGCAGAATTAAAAAGTTTGAAAGGAAGAAAATATTTAGATGCTCTTTGTGTTTATTTCTGGGCCACTACACCAGTGCTGATATCAATCATAACATTTACTACATATTCCCTACTTGGACACGAACTAACAGCTGCAAAGGTAGGGCAATAACACGTAGTGATGATATCACTCTTTACTTGGACATGAACTAACTGCAGCAAAGGTAGGGCAATAACACCTAGTGATGATATCAATCATAACATTTACTACGTACTCTCTACTTGGACATGAACTAACAGCTGCAAAGGTAGGGCAATAAGACTTAGTGATGATATCACTGTCTACTTGGACATGAATTAACAGCAGCCAATGTAGGGCAATATTACCTAGTGATGATATCACTCTCGACTTTTGGACATGAACTAACAGCAGCAAAGGTAGGGCAATGACACCCATTAGTCTGAGCTCTGACATACACTAGTCTATTTTTCTCACTTATGGAAGTCAGTATATTTGGTTTTTGGAATTTTCTCCAATCTTATTTTTTTATAAATAGATAACTGCTACAAGTCAGATGAGATTTCAAGCCATTTTTTCCACTTGACAAAAATACCTCAACTTTTACTTCTACAAGTAAAAAAATGACCATTAATCTTTTTAGGCCATTTACCTACATTTAAAAGTTGGGCACCTTCATTACAATGTTAAAAATGCCTTCCACAAACACATTTTTATCAATTCAAAATATGAATGAGAGCCTAAATAAGACGGGTCATTGGAAATTACCTTTTTCTATCCAAATTTATATTTATGATAAGGTATAGAACCACTAATTCAGGCCCGGTCGGAAAGAACATACAAGAAAGTAGTACATATTGTAAACAAAATAGTTCCTACGCATAGCTGTATCTTTGTCAATAGTTGGAATATTTGGGTAGTTTTAGTATCAAATGAAAGCTTGGGGACTTGGGATCACTGTAGAACCCTTATTGAAAGTTTTATTTGAATAATAAAGAAGTATATGAAATTTTAATAGGAGGGCTCATTTGGCCTGTTGTTCAGATCAGAAGTTCCTGTTTTTGTACTATCAAACTTCCGGGAACCAGTACGCTCTAATATGCAATTAAAGGTATGTTGATTTTTTCAGCACAAGTCAGGATAAGGTACAGTTTTGACATGAAATAACTGCCACTTTATTTGAACTTAAGACAAAGTAGCCATTAATGCTTGAATTTGCAGAATTTAACATAGAAAGCAATGGGGCTATGAATTAGTGGTTTTATACCTATTACTGACAGGCATGTGAAATTCTATTTTTGTAAATCATACCCTTTACAGTGAAAATTGGTCACATTTGTTGTCAGAAATCATGTTACATTATTTTTTTTATGTAACAATTATGTTAGTGTCAAGTTACAACCCTCAAATTGCTAAAATAAGGTATTTTAGCCTTTTTTGGTCATTTAGCATGCACACAGTTAAGATTTTACCCGAAATTTTAATTTTTTGATTATCTAACACTGAAACCAATGACTTGTATATCATGACAAGTTTACAGTATAAATATTGTTTTTGGTCAAATTATCTAGTGAGTGTTCATGTTTTATTGTGTTTCTTAGTGAATTACTTATTTCAAGGAAAATTGGTGTATACTTATGTAGGAAATCCAAAATCTCACTTGAAATGCATTTTATAACCATTTTAGCAAGTTGTCTAGCTTGGAGATACATAAATTGCTCTTGTTGATCCATGTTTATACTTAAAAGTATGGTTTTTTACCAAATCACTCTCCTTTTCCAACATGTAGAAAAAAGGGGGGACAAAATTATCAATTATATTTTATGTTTGGACCACTGTATTTATATTGAAGGAAGAATCTCTGATAAAAATAAACATATAGGTAAGAACACTGTTATTTGAGTAGATATTAACAAATCAGAGCTGGGAAAAATTGAAAAAGTGTTATATCTGTCACTATTAGTATCCATAAGTAGTTTTCTTTGTTTAACGCATATGCTACTACCAGTCCAATTTGAGCTTGAATTCAGTGATATAGTGTTTTGACAAAAGCTTGATGTGTTTTTCTATGCTAGAAATAGATCATAGAAGGACATTAAGTCAAGCAGAAGTCAATATAACAAGTTTGGTGCTGTTATAGGTATAGAACCACTAATTCAGGCCCGGTCGGAAAGAACATACAAGAAAGTAGTACATATTGGAAACAAAATAGTTCCTACGCATAGCTGTATCTTTGTCAATAGTTGGAATATTTGGGTAGTTTTAGTATCAAATGAAAGCTTGGGGACTTGGGATCACTGTAGAACCCTTATTGAAAGTTTTATTTGAATAATAAAGAAGTATATGAAATTTTAATAGGAGGGCTCATTTGGCCTGTTGTTCAGATCAGAAGTTCCTGTTTTTGTACTATCAAACTTCCGGGAACCAGTACGCTCTAATATGCAATTAAAGGTATGTTAATTTTTTCAGCACAGGTCAGGATAAGGTACAGTTTTGACATGAAATAACTGCCACTTTATTTGAACTTAAGACAAAGTAGCCATTAATGCTTGAATTTGCAGAATTTAACATAGAAAGCAATGGGGCTATGAATTAGTGGTTTTATACCATAAATTGAAAATTTGAAACCTGTAAAAGGAATAATATCCACGATTATGGCAGAGGTAGGGTATTAATACACAGTAAGGTTGTAAGTCATGCCATAGTTAAGAGTTTGCTGTTATCCTTTTTATGTACTTCATGACTGCATATTTGTACCATAATTTACAATCTCAAATCTATCTTTTACATGCTTTTTTCAAGTTTTCAAGTTAATCTATGAATCATACAGAATATTTGTCACAATTTATCACAAATATGCCTTTCCCTTGGTAATGCCATTTATTTCAAACACACACTACAGGGACATCGATTGCAGCACATACAAGGTGATTCAGTTAACATTTTGATAATTGTTATAAGCTCATTAGTAAAATATTTACTATTTTATTGTAAAAAATTGAATGACTTGATCTGACCACTGTTTACGCTTTTGATATTTAGCTTAATTTTGTCTCTGAATGACCATGAATATGTCTCCAAATAACCTTCTGATGGCAAACGACAACTACATTTTAACTATGACATCAAATTTTTAAAACTATGATGCAAAATTTTGCTGGAACTTTTATGATTTTAAGTAATTGTGAACAAATTTGCATACAAATGTAAATACATCTATACTTTCTATAAATCTGTTACAAGGGAAGTAACTTTATTTTTTATTGTTTTTACAAGTTTTCACCAGTTTGTCTTTGTTTCTCATGCTGATTAGTCCTTGAATGCCTTTTCCTGGGTAATAAATCTGTTACAAGGGAAGTAACTCTATTTTTTATTGTTTTTACAGGTTTTCAACCAGTTTGTCTTTGTTTCTCATGCTGATTAGTCCATTGAATGCCTTTCCCTGGGTAATAAATCTGTTACAAGGGAAGTAACTTGATTTTTTATTGTTTTTACAGGTTTTTACCAGTTTGTCTTTGTTTCTCATGCTGATTAGTCCATTGAATGCCTTTCCCTGGGTAATAAATGGTCTGGTAGAATCCTGGGTATCACTGAAGAGAGTTCAGGCTTTTGTTTCTGTAAAAGATCTCGACTTGGACAGCTACTATAGTAACGATACAAGTAAGTGTTTCTATACATAGTTAAAAATGATAAATATAAAAATAAGGAGATGTGGTATGATTGCAATTGAGACAACTATGTACCAAAGTTCAAATGAAGTAGATGTAAGCAATTATAGGCAACCATATGGCCTTCAACAATGAGAAAAAACCATACTGCATATTCGGCTATAAAAGGTCCCGTCATGAAAAATATGAAACGACCTAATTTATAACAAAACAATTTACAAAAAACAAATATGACAGACATGAACCAACGACAACCACTGAACTACAGGCTCCTGAGTTCGGACAGGCACCACTGGACGTTATGCAACCAACAATCAATCAATCAATGGGACAGGCACATATAGAATGGGACAGGGTTAAACATGTTTGAAGGAGCCAACCCTCCCCTAACCTGGGACATTGGTTTAAAGGCACAACACAAGAAAAAACTATGCAAAACAATAAAAGAAAAAAGGAAATATTAGAAACAACAACAAATGATAACCACTCAAGTACAGGATCCTGACTTGGGGCAGGCACATATAGAATGTGGCGGGTTAAACTAGTTTCCTGGTTCCTTTTTAGGTCATTTCATTTGAACTTTTATTTATTTGGATTTAAGTGTGATAGAAAACAGTTTGTAGAGGTGCAAACAGTTCTCTAGGAGCAAAAGGCAAAATATGCTTTGGTATTTATATTAATAAATTTTAAAATTGGACTATTCATCAGTCAAAATATTCATTTAACAGCATCATAGACTTATTAATTAGAGGACTTCTTTCTTTTAAAATGAATAAACCATAGAATTGTTTACCACAAATAAAAATAACATGATAACCATGCTTTTATGAAGAAATGTTTGTCTTTGCCTTTTTTTTCTCTTAGATATATACAATCCAGAGGAAGTGGTCAAGGTCAGGGATGGAGTTTTTTCATGGACTGAATCATCCAATGAAAACCCTGGAACACTGATGCTGAGGAATCTTAACTTCATTATTGAAGAGGTAATTATATTTGTTTTTTATGCCCCGCCTTATGTTTTTCGGTCTGTCTGTTCGTTCGTACGTTCGTCCTTCCGTTCGTCTGTCCGTCTGTCCAGCTTCAGGTTTAAGTTTTTAGTCAAGGTAGTTTTTGATGAAGTTGAAGTGTAATCAACTTAAAACTTAGTACACATGTTCATTATTGAAGAGGTAATTATATTTTTTTTTATGCCCCACCTATGGGCATTATGTGTTTCGGTCTGTGCGTTTGTTCGTCCGTTCGTTCGTCCGTCTGTCCCGCTTCAGGTTAAAGTTTTTGGTCAAGGTAGTTTTTGATGAAGTTGAAGTCCAATCAACTTGAAACTTAGTACACATGTTCCCTATGATATGATCTTTCTAATTGTAATACCAAATTAGAGTTTTGACCCCAATTTCACGGTCCACTGAACATAGAAAATGATAGTGTGAATGGGGCATCCGTGTACTATGGACACATTCTTGTTTTTAGATAGTACTCCTGTTGTTTTGTTAATTTTATACAGAGATAATTTTATGTCATTTAAGTCATGAATCAGTTAATTAAAAAATAATTCATGGCAGCCTTAGATTTGTATTCATTTGACCATGGGTTGGGCATTTATATTTGATTATTTGATCCCGAGCGACAGCCATGAATTATTTTGATTCTAATAGGACAAATATGGTAATTTTGTCAACCTAGAGAGCCTTATACACAAGATACTGTTTTGGCTGTTCCGTTTTACCCCCATATATTCCATGATTCAATTAGAAATTTAAAAAAACTAACATTTTTCACCTAAAAGTGTTCTTTTTATCTAATTTTATTACATTCTGAAGCATACAAGAAGCCTGAAAATGCCCGGTGTTTACATTTGAGGTTGAAAGCATACATTTGACACCGGGAGCATACTTATGAAATAATAACTGAAATGTACGGACTTGTTTATTTTGCATTAGAATAGAGATAACCGTATTGTATTTGAAGCTTTGCCTACGTAAAACGTTGGTTTTACTGTAGCAGATTGAATTTACCAGATAATAAAAAAAGGTGGGCGTAACACAGAACTGCCAATTTTGTGTATCAATGCGTTTGCGCTAAAGGTAGATATACTTTGATTATACTGGTTGATAGGTATATAGGTCATCGTATTAGAATTGTAATAATGGAAAGAGACAAGGTTTAAAGGTTGTCTGTTGAGTTAAGTTCCATTTTAACGTAAAATGTAGGTGATTATGCATTGATAAATTTCATAATAAGTACATGTAGAGATGTGAAGGTCCATGTTTTGTAATGAGAATCACCAAAAGTAAGTTTGACTAAAGAAAATAAGATTAAGAAAACACTTTCTTCTTTATTTTCAGGAACAGTTTGTAGGAATTGTGGGTAAAGTAGGTTCTGGTAAAAGTTCAATATTTAGTGCAATCCTGGCAGAAATGTCACATGTCAGTGGATATATACATGTAGAAAATTTAGATAGTATTGCCTTGGTGACACAGGAACCATGGATACAACATGCTACTATTAGGGATAACATATTATTTGGCCAGGAGTTTGATCACCAAAAGTATGAAGCTGTTATTGATGCTGTAGCCTTACATGATGACCTTAAGGTTAGTCCAGTCTTTGTGGTCTCTTAACATGATCACTTTGAGTACAGGTCAGGAGGTTTTAAGTCAAAAACAAGAACATTAAAATTGGTATTTGTCTGATGGGGTGAACTATAACCTTATGAACTAGCTTATTAAAAATCTAGCTTAGCATATGGACTATTTCAAAGCAGAATTAAAATCATGTTAACAAGTTCTATATTAGAGTAAAACTTGAAAAGTACTTTGCCGACAGGAAGTTGGATAAACCTATGGCTTTTAGTACTTACCATGCTTACAGTGCTTGATTTTTTTAATGTCTCTTGATTCAAATAGCTTAATCAATAGCTTTCTGATTGGTCAATATTTTTAATTCCACCAATAAAAATTTGAAAACATGTTAGTAATGAACACTTTCTTGATCTCACGAATGGTATGTCCCTGGGGGGGAAAAAAAGGACTACAAAAAAAAAAAATGTTTTTTTTTTATCTAGAGAAACCATTTTGAACCAATGAAAAATGAACCTTCGGTCTGCTATTTTTCCATCAGATATAGTAATGTTACCCTGTATCTGCTTCCAGTAAGGGTAACAATTCTACCCGTTTACTTAAAATGGAACAGCTTACCAGTGATACATGTAGATAAAATATAACTGCCCTCTTTTAGATGGCTAATAGTAGGCAGTTATAAATCTACAAAGTCAAAGGAAGCACTGCTTCTCACTGAAAAGGTACAGGATAATATATACCCTGGTATATGTTTTTTTACAGATATTACCAGCTTCAGATAGGACAGAAGTAGGGGAGAATGGAGTAACTTTAAGTGGTGGACAGAAAGCTAGACTGTCATTGGCCAGAGCTTTGTATCAGGTAAGAGCAAAAAGAAAGAAAAACTTTCATTGGCTTAGACTTAATATCAGGTGAGGACAGAAACAAACTGTTTTACTAAGGCTAAGGATTAAGTGAGGACAAACAGCAAGGGGTCATTGGCCTTGGCTTTGTATCAGATAAGGACAAAACACAAGTGCTCATTGGGTAGGTCTTATTGACAAGTGAGGAAAATATAGCATTTAGTAACTCTGATTTTTATTAGCTAAGGACAGAAAGCAAAGGCTTTGTGGCTAGAGCCTAATTTGTTTAGCAGGAGGGGGGGGGGGGGGGGGTAGTAAGCAGAAGAAAATCTTTATTGTTAGTTCAAAGTAATTCTGTTTAATTTAACCAAAAGACTTAAATTGAAAGTTTGAAATAAGATTTTATCATCAATATGCCTTTTTGTTTTATGAAAAATTATGATTTTCTTTTAAATGTCATGATGATGGATGGCATTTTATGTCCAGCAGTAAAGTATATGCATATTCAGAACATGAATATTAACCCTGCTTTGTACTAGACAGACACCATGTGCTGGATTTATCGTGCTAGTTCTCAAGGTAACATCTACAGGAAGACATGTCACCTTACACAGCCCCATTATTATGACTCCCAGGCGACCTTTCTTTGCGCCTTCTCCTAAATGCTGTGTGCTTAGTGAAGATGGCAGCAAATAATAATTTTAAAATCTTTGGTTTGACCCAGTAGGGGTTCGAATCCACCACCTTCTGCCAACATGCTACCACAAGACCACCAAGGCAGTCTAAATGTCATGAAAAGAGCTTAAGATAGTTTTGGAAGCGTTAAATTTGACTTCGGAATATTTTTTTATGGGTTGCTGTCTTATTGTCCTACATCCTTCATCTCTTTTTATTTGCAAATATGCATTCAATTTTATTCTACCCCCTTAGTGATCTTGTGTTAGTGTCCTGGAGTGTGGATGGTGGTGAATTAGAACTCTGGACTGGTTAAAATAAAGACCAGAAAATTGGTATTTGATGCTTCTCTGCTAAGCATGCAGCATTTAGGAGTAAGAACAAAGACTGGTTGACTCATACTTAGAATAATATGTTCTGGTAGGGCGACATGTCTCAATGCAGACTGCAAACTAGCTCCAGCTCAGCATGTCAGTCTAGTACAAAGGAGACTTCATATTCATATCTCATTATCATATTCTATTCCTGAATATGCATTAAATTTGCCACTGGTCATTAAACAGCCATCCATCCATCAATTTTATTCTTAAAACTGCTAAGTCCATTAAATATAGTAGCTGTTTAAAAAATGTCTCACATTATTTTAATGAAGTATGTATTAACTAAGAAGCAACTGCATTCAAGAAGCAAACCTTTTACTTTACTTAGCCTCACGGCAGGGACAGAAACATTTATACCCACTTATTTTATAGGACAAATCTGTTTACTTACTGGATGACCCACTAGCTGCGGTTGATGCACATGTTGCTAAGCATTTGTATACAAAATGCATTATGGGATTGCTAAAGAATAAGACCAGAATACTTTGCACCCATCATACCAAATACCTAAGCAATGCAGATGTTGTCATGGAGATCAGGGATGGTACTGTAGTCCAAATTGGTAAGCTATGGAAAGAAGACTTTTTTTGAGAATTATACTTTTATCTTGAAATACCTAGAGTTGTCTGGATTGTTGATTTTTGAGTATATCTTTTTTTAGAAGATAATTTGTATAAAGGTATAATAGAAATTTGTTAAAGACTGTAGAATATTTTTTCGGCAAACATGATTGTGGAAAAGAATGCACTCAACAGATAATTCTGGAATAACCACTATTATGTATGCAATAGACCAATAATTTTGAACATAAAATCTATAAAACTTTTAAGAGGATCATACTCGAAATGGTCCTTAACCAGAGCCAACAATGATGAAGAACAACTTTGCATAAAGAAGTTGCTACCTTTGCTTAAATATCATTAGATAATTCATAAATTGAAAATGATATCATAAAATGACAATGGAGCTAATGTTTGAGAAATATTTAAAAAAAAAAATAATAAAAAATATTGACACTGCTATACAAAAAAAATGTACTTCTGATCGTTTACAGGAACTCCATCTGAGGTTCTTGGTACTGTTGAGCTTCAGGATGAAGAGGAATCCACCAAGACAGGGAATCAGGATGTAGAAGAAACTGAGGTAGAGGATTCTGGTTTGGTTCAGGAAGAAGAACAAGAACAGGGCGTGGTCAGATTACTGGTATACAAATCCTACTGGTTTGCTGTTGGTACCTGCCTAGCTCCTCTGGTATTGATAGCATTGTTTCTTATGCAAGGTATGCTGATGAAATCATCAATAAAAACTGTTTTGCATTTATAAGATTTCACTTTTTTTAGGCAAGAATGGTTTTACTCTTAGCCTGTCCCAGGTCACCCATTTTCTACTTAGTCCAGTATTATTCTTCATAAGCATTTCTATTTTATTTTATCGCTTCCAGAATACAATATAACTTAACAGTAGTTGGGATTTTATTATGACCCTTGTCCTGATATTTAGAAAAATTTGAAATTTTGTCTGCATCCAGCAATCAATTTTGCTCTTTGGTGTCAAACATATATTCTTGCCTTTATTATACCCAGGCTCCAAAAGATATATATATATCCCATTTTTCTAAGCATCTACAAGTCATAGACATGCTATTTATACAATAGAAGTCTTCTTTTCATAGTTTATAAATTTGGAAACTGTTGAGACCTATCTTCATCTGGTTTATATATGGACATATTCAGAAATACCATGTGACAAGATTTTAATTCCTAAAAAAATTGCCAAAAACCAAAATTTAAAATTTTATGCACATATAGAAATATTTAGCACATATTTTTCAGGAACCAAAAAAGTAATAGCTACTTTATATATGGCACGAATCTTCATCTGTTTATGCCATAACATGGGACATGTTTTCAGATCCTTCAATGTTTTATTTCCTGTTTCCTGTCATGCATATACATTGTACTGATATCAATTGCTTAACATCCAGTGAACTGATATATGAAATTTTCGTAGTATTTGGTTGAACAGTATTGGACAGAGTTTAACTAGTAAGCAAAAGCTAACAGTACATCTTATTATTAATATTTTAAAAGCCCTGTGATGTGAAAAATTATGGGGACTCATTATCCTGTGATAGAAGACAAATAGCCATAAAATGTTTCACCAGAAGTTTGTGTAGGTCTCTATTTAAGGATTATTATATTGCCACAGTATTAACATTTCCCTTTTATTTCAGCATCCAGAAATATAAATGATTGGTGGTTGTCCTACTGGGTTACACATTCCCATAGTCAAGATAATCCTGTAGATGAAGTATACCGTGGATTTGGGTAGGTATTGTAAATGTTTGATTCATGGTTAATCAGTAGTTAGTGGGCAATGTCATATTTACATCATATTTTGATTTGTCTTAAAGTTTTCATAGAAGTAAATGGAAGTTCTTAAAACAGATGCATATTTGTAAAGAAAGCACAAACATGAGTGAAAATGCTATAAAAAAATCTTTAAAAACTAGTTTCTCAAACAGAAAAAAACTAGTGCAAAGGAAATTTATACCCCCTGCCTGCTTCCTGAAACGGATGTTTTATAGTGATGGATGAGTCCCTTCATTTGTCCCCCTTTTGTTAATACTGGTTTGAAGAATTTTTTAAATTATGTACTTAAAATATCTTATATTTCAATCTGACTGTTTGGCTGGGGATTATGGTTTCTGTGATGCATTTGTCTAAGTTATTAACATTTAATACGCCATTATGATTGGAAAGGAGGATAATTTATCATATTTCTTTCCTATCATATATTGCTGTCTGACTGTTGATTTACCATGATTACAGTCTAAGAACTTACATTTCAGATCTTTGCATGGCAGTTGGAAGAATTTGACACAAGCAGAAGATAACTTGCGTTTCTACCTGACTGTATATGGATGTCTGGCTGCTGGTAATTCTTTATTTACATTGATGAGGGCATTCTTGTTTGCCTATGGTGGGATTTGTGCAGCTAGAATCATGCATATAAAAATACTCGATTCAATTTTGAAGGTAATTATTTTAGCTTGACATTATAGAGTTATTTTTCGAAGAAAAAAAATAATGGCAAACTTTTTCATTTGTTATTTATAGTATGACTGTTGAAAAATTTTTGAATGAAACAATAGTACTTCAGTTTAATTTAGATTGCAATACTTTTTTTTACAGTGAGATTTTTGTGCAAGTTCGGACAATATTCATAAGATTTCTTTGCCAGATATGATTTGTAATTTGTTAATTTTACAACACATCTGTTTACTTCAATGCACGGATGTAACTTGATCAGTATCTAGCAAAGAAAATCTGCTCAAACAGATGGTTGCTTTAATGTTGAAGGCCTCATCGTGACTTTAAGATGAACAACAGCAATAGAAGCATTGCTCCTTTGCTATTGTTTTTTTTCATTTGAGCTTAGAGATTCATAACAATATCTTTTCTTTTTCTTTGTTACTAATGAATATCTTTAACTAGCAAGTGTACTCTTATATATTTATTGTAGGCTCCTATTTCTTTCTTCCAAACAACACCAATTGGACGAATTATCAACAGATTTTCATCTGATTTATACTGCATTGACGATTCTTTGCCATTCATACTGAACATTTTCCTGGCAAATATCTATGGAATTGTGGGTACGATAGCTGTCCAGTGTTATGGGTTACCATGGTTTGCTATTCTACTGGTTCCTTTGGGACTTATCTATCTGAAACTTCAGGTATGTAAAGAGGAGTACTACTGTGGGTTCACTTTTTTTCGTTGGGTACCAGTTTTCGTGGGTTTGTTGGGTGCAGGTGAACCATGATGTTAAATATTCAATGATTTACCAATTTTTTATAAGGTTGTACGCAGACTTTAGCAGAAACACAAAATAAAATATCCACAAAAATGCAAGTTTTCCTCAATCCCTGAAAATTGGTACCAACAAACATGAATGAATCTACAGTAAATCAATTGTACAGTTATGTCTTAAAAGAATAGATAAAAGTGAAAACCCAATGGGCGACAACAACAAATGAAACAAATGAAATCAAAAACCATCCTTTTTTCGGGGGAATTATGGTATAATCTTTATATTTATTTAAATGCTGGATACTTATGCCAATTAAACTAATTGCATTTGATTTTCATTCACCTGTACAAAAAAATAATGACTAGGTGGGAGGATTTAATTTTAAGAAGAATCCCACAAATCATGTCATATTAGTCATGTTAATTCTGCAATATTCTATGTAAACATTTTTATCTATATAGGGGTTTTATATATTTTGTTATGTATTAAATGTATGGATATATAAGTTTCAAGACTTGAACATGATAAATTACTGGGGAAGAAACAAAACGGTTGGATCTATTATTGATGACAGTGTGGGAATGAATATCTACCTTGATATTCATTTTAAATAAACCTGTGAAATATTTTGCAAGAGCTCGAACTAAATTGGCTGAACTGAAGGATAAACTAATGAATTATAAAGACTGAAGTTTCATGCATATTTTCAGGGCTGAAGAGAATTGCCAAATTGAATGTAATTCATAAAATATAAAAATGTAGTAACTTAATTATAACTTGGTTGATGATAATGAATTTTTCCTATCAAGTGTAATTTAAAACTTTTCTCTTTTATTCAGCAATATTACAGACATACATCAAGAGAGCTGAAGAGAATTGCCAGTGTCACTTTGTCACCGATATATGCTCACTTCTCAGAAACTATCACTGGATTAGTGACAATCAGAGCTTTTAGAGCCACAGAAAGGTAAAATATTCCATTATTAAGATTTCAATTTAGACAATTATGAATATTCATCTTTCCAAAGAGAGTATGCAAATAAAATTCAACAGCATAAACTTAATTTCTGAATACATGGAATAGCTGTCTGAGTTCTGATAATAAACAGATATATCACCATAAAGGTCAAAGGGAGATAATTCTAATCAAACATTTTTTTTTTTTATCTGGTAAGAAGAACAACTTTTTACATCTACACCAATTTCAAAATTTTAGGAATTATATAAAAAATGTTCTTTCATTCATTAGCCAATCATCTTTCTGTAGCAAGTTGCAGTGAAAAAATTATGACTAGCATACACACAACATTAACAGTCTTGAAAAATAGAATGAATAATTGATAAGGAAAAAAGGCTTTAATATTTTGTAAGGACTGACAGGTATTACATATGGATACTTAATTGTCCATAGTGGAGAAATATTCAGACACAATTGAAGGATATGTTTCTTCAATAAATATAAGATCGACTTCTATCCCCATTTTCTTGTAAATGAATTGACATGAAAATGTACGATAAATTTTGTACCTAATGCCTTAATTTTTAATTTACACTCTTATTAAATAATCCTATGGTCTAACAATTACATTATTTATGTTACAGATTTAGAAAAGAGAATTTAATTCGACTAGACATTAACCAGAGAGCCCAGTTTGCTGGTCAAGCTGCTTCTAGTTGGTTAAACTTTCATTTACAAATGGTTGGAGTTGTAATGGTTGGAGGGATAGCATTCATTGCTGTAATACAACACAACCTAGATTCTGTCTCACCAGGTACTGTTTATTATGGGGCTTGAGGGGACGCAGAAAAAGAGGGGTTGGTCTGTTCAATAGGAGGGATACTAGTATTTTTATTACATTAAATACAGCTAAATACAATTATTTCCTTGTACTCTTTAACTTAATACTAATTAAAAAATTTCAAAAATTAATATTGATATAGTTATGTCAAGGATTTGTTTAGTTAACAAATCCTTGGTTATGCCATGAAAAATACTTAAAAATTGTACAGAATGTCCTAAAATGGTGATTTTACCCTTATTCTTTCATTTAGTAGTTGGTATGTAAACAATTGCTTATACATGTATTTGACATTTCCTGTGGGTCATATTTGTAAAAATAGAAAAACAAAGACTATGGGGTATCCATTCATGGCACAAAATCAGTACATGCACACAGCAAGAAACAAACAAAAAGCAAAGGAACAGTGCTTTTATTGCTGTTCTTCATCTCAAAGTCACAGTGAGGCCTGAAACACTGAGCAAAAAAAAAACCTCTCACCTCACTGCAAGTTTAAGACGGCCCTTAGTACTGGCTTGAGCAGAATTTTTTGCAAAAGTAATTTGGATAGACTTTGTAAGATGTAACACCACCAAATCGGGCCCGGTCAAAAAAGAACATACTTTAATTTGGAACAAGCACATTTCAAATGTTATACATGTATATCACAGTGTACAGGCAATACATTGTGCCGTCTGTTGAGAGAAAAAAAGATGTTGAAGTTGGCAAAGTTTGAGTCAGAACAGTTTCATTGTATTTAATTCTACACTTACAAAAAGTATATATTTATTACTCATTACTGTCATTAAGAAGCATAATAATCTCCCATGTAGGTTTGCTCTTATCAAATATAATAGCAAGATTTTTGTCAAAAGTGAGATAAACTACAACATGCACTATCCTCCAGTTTCTGATTTTATATAAAGATGATTTAATTGGTTGCAATTGAAAATAACTTTCAATTCACTGGAAATAAAATACTTTAACAGCAGTTTGTACACTTTCCCTTTGATCTTACTGCCTCAAATTTTTTTAGTCCCAGACAGGACATGATACTGTAAAAGGCAATGACGTCACGTACAATGCAATAACCTAATGTTTTTCATGTCCATCTGTGTTAACTTATCAATGAACTTGAAACGCATGCAACAACGTTTATACAACGGAAGAAGTATTGCAATGTTTTGTATGCTTTAAAGATTTATTTAACTACTTTTTGTAATTGCATATTCTACCACAAGATTGATTGATCGAATTTTGGTGTTTTAACTCCACTTTAAGTGCCACATTTGGGCTATTTCGTGGTGGCCAGTTTTTATTGGTGGAGGAAGCCGGAGTGCGCGGAGAAAACCACCGACCTTCGATAGGAAAACTGACAATCCTAGTCAATTAAGATTGGAGTCGAGTGCACCCGCACGAGCGGGGTTCGAACTCACAACCTCAGTGTTGACTGGCTAGTGATTACAGTAGTAAAACTACTTAGACCACTTGGCCACAGAGGCCCCTTCTATCACAAGAAGCATATTGTTAAGACAAATTGCCTAAAAAAAGAACAAAAAGCATTTTATTTTTTTATTCCGACTTCATCAGTTTAAAAATTGTGATAAAATTGGTATCAAAATAAAAAATGCAATTATTCTATATTTATTTCTTTTTTAGGACTTGTAGGTCTGGCTATATCTTACTCCTTATCTGTAACCAATCTGTTGTGTGGAGGTGTGAACTTTTTCACAGAGACAGAAAAACAGATGGTCAGCATAGAAAGAACACAGCATTATATAGACAACATTCCTGCAGAACAAATTGAGGGGTCTTTAATTGTAAGTCAACCTTTGGAAATATACTAGATATTTCAATAATATATGAGGGTCTGGATGGGGTATACAGAATAGAGAATAAAGGGCAAAAAGTGCAGAATAACTGAGGAAAATAATTACAGAATAGAGAAAAATGGACCCCCACACAGACCCTCATATATACTGTAGAAAGGATAACAAGAAATACCAAAAATATTGGACAGAACAACAGATCACACCAACCACCAACAACAGACTTCTCTGAAAAAAATAGATGTAAAAGGAAAAAAAATTACAAACATTACATGGTCAATAAGTTGGAATAATAACCCAAAATGTTTTACGCTTAAAATGAAAGACAAAAATTCCAATAAAAGCAAATTTGAAACTCCTGTCCAGTGAGACAAATTAACTTTATTGATATAAATGAATTCACTATGAAGGGGAAAGGCAAGAAATTTTAAGATAAAAAGTTTCATATTGATACAGAAATAGCTGTGAGTTTTAAATCATGTCCAGGGAAGGGGACTTTTGAATTCTATGAGTTGGAGGTCCATCTTTGTAAACAAAGGGTCACAAACATCTGATGAAGTGATCATGGAAAAATACATTTTTTATGCCCCTACTGTCACCAAAGGGGGCATTAAGTGCTACCCTTGTTCGTCCGTACGTCTGTCCGTCTGTCCATACTTCCGTCTGTCCCTACTTCCATCTGTCCCTACGTATGTCCCAAAATTGGTTTCTGTTCTCTAACTTTAGTTTGCCTCAACCAAATGTTATGAAACTTATACACAAATAATTACCACAATACACAGATCAAGTTCCAATTTGGGTGGCGTCATTTTTATCGTTCTCGAGTTATGCCCCTTTATAACGTTATATGCAAATGAGGGCATCGTCTGTGTCCCATGGACACATTCTCCATTTGTTTTTCATTTGACATAGAGTTTTATAGTAAAGAGTCAACAATTTGGAAGAATAAGAAGGTTTTTTTTTAAATTTTCAATTTAATTGTAAGGTTTCTCATCTAAATTTGTCTGTAGCTGATCTTTTATTTTTTGCTCTTGTGCTGTTCCACTTAAATAAGATAGGCTGACTGGTTTTGATTTTGAATTTAAGATATCTTTCATCAACTTAAGACAAATTGAGATTCTGTTGTGCAGTTTTAAGCAGTAGATGGAAAAAAAAAACAATTAAATTTTTTGAATTTGAAGTCCTGTAAAAAGGTCTTCTTATTTCCAGCATGTCTAGTTGGCAAAGGTCTAAAACATGCAAAAATTATTCCAACCATAAGACCTGTATCTATGTGCATCAAGTCTTGTTTTTTTATCCATACAGTATATATAATATAATATAACAGTAATTTACATGTACACATGTATATTATTTTTCCACAAACAACTGTTATTGCAAATACAATATATAAGTACTATACAAATACTTGGTTATTGTAATATCGTAAGATCTCGTAAGGGTATGAGCAAAATGACAAAAAAGAGTGGGTCCATGCATCAAGCGCTTGTGAAGAAAAGCAGATATTCCGTGTATATGGAAGTAAAGTAAGTTTGTTGTAATATGTTACTTGTATGTTCGTACATAATTGTGTTATTCAGAACATTAGAATGTAAAAAATATAAACCCTTTCTCTACAAGAATCTCAAAATAGATACTGGAGGATAATTTTACTTAGCACATTCAAACTTTGAATTTCGTAAACTTATTTCCAAATTTAGAATATGTGATCATAATCTGTAGATATCAGTTACTTCTTTGAAATTATTTCTCGAATTCGAAATAATGACAATTTATGAGTTTCACTTACAAAAAAAGCTACAATAATATCAAATTTTCATCAGTTAAAAAGGTACAAAGGAGTTTTTTTGCTCCGTGTTGAAACCTGACTGTGATTTTGAGATGAAGAACAGCAATAAAAGCGCTATTCCTTTGCTTTTTGTGTTTTTTGCTGTGCATGTACTGATTTTTTATCACGGATTGATATCCTATATCCTGTCTTTTATATTAAAGTAGTATTCCTGAGATAACCTATTGGTATAGATACCGGTATTGGTTCCAGTTTCTCTGCTTAATTGCAATAAGAGTTATGGTTTGGCTCTGTGGGATCATGCTTTTCAAAAGTTTTATTCACACAAACGTTCCAGACAAGGTTTAGAAAGACAAAAAATATGTTTTGTCACATGCTTTATTAGGTGTAATGACAAGCAAAATTTGAATTTATGGCTAGAGATCTCTTTAATTTCTTTTTTTATAGCAAATTTTAGAAATCTTGATATTTCAATTTTTTTCAAACTTTTTACCTATTCACTTACATTTATGAAATGAATTCCATAGATATAGATAATATGTTAATTACATATGGTGGGTGAACCAAGGCTTTATTGACTCTTAGGAAAAATGAACACTGGACAAAAGAACTTGTTACCAATATGACTATATATAAGACAAGGGGTATACATTAATGAGACATCAACCATATGACAAAAATAACTGAAAGACATCTAGAGGTCAAAATACAGATCTCAATAATAGACAGGTGTCAATACTAAACATGTATGTCAAGGACTCCAGCTTTAAATCATCTAAAGTTAAAAAAAGGTTGTGATTAAATTAACAGAAACTATCAAAGAACAGCAAATGAAGAAGAATTTTATGCAAAGTCAACCAATAGATAGATTTGGCTATTATTTTTATGTCCCTTTTTGTCATATCGCTCTTCACTTGTTTCAGTACTTTTACATCCTTAGTTTTCAAATATTTGGTTTTGAGTGTTCCTGATGAAGGTAACTCTACAAAAGTGTTTAGGATGCATAAAATATTCAACATGTTATTTTTGTTTTTAATGAGAACTGTTTAAGTAAATGACAATATTTTTGATATATTCTAGGTATCACCAGTGTGGCCAACAGCCGGAATAATCTGCTTCAAAAATGTGTTCATGAGGTACCGTGAAGGATTACAAGATGCTTTGCATGATGTTACATTCCAGACACATCCAGGGGAGAAGATCGGCATTGTGGGAAGGACTGGATCTGGAAAATCCAGTCTATTTTTAGTATTGTTTAGAATTGTAGAAATACAAAGAGGAAGTATTACTCTGGATAATACAAATCTAAAAAACATAGATCTCAAAGATATTAGGTACGAATAATAAACATCAGACCTTTGAATTTATCATGAAAACAGACTTTCTGTGTTGAATAATTTTGTGATCTGACCTTGAAGTAATGATCGGTTTGTTGATGTCCTTTATCTGTTTCGTAGAATCTCTTTAAAGTTTGATTTAAATTCTCTTGCATATTTATAAATATTTTGCTTTTAATGTTTAGGTTTGGGCTTTCCTCTTGAAGGTAAATCCAGAAAAGCACTAGAGATGCACAATATTAGTCCCCTACCGACGTAGTCGATGGAGACTTTAGGTTTGCACTCTGTCCGTCTGTTTATCCATCCGTCAGACCGGCAAATCAGTTTTCCACTTTTTTTCTTTGTGCTTGAAGATATTGATTTGATATTTGGCATATGGTTTTTAATATCATGACAAGTTACAGATCAAGTTCGAATTTTGTTCCGGTCTGATGATTTTGTGCAGAGTTATGGTCCTTGGACTCTGAAAATTCACTAAAATAATCAGTTTTCCTCATTTTGTTTTGTCATGCTTGAAGATATTGATTTGATAATTGGTATACAGTTTTATGATGACAAGTGACAGACCAAATTCAAATTTTGTTCCAGTCTGATTATTTTGTGCAGAGTTATGGTCCTCGGACTCTGCAAATTCACTTAAATAATCAGTTTTCCACACTTTTTTTGCATCATGCTTGAAGATATTGACTTGATATTTGTTATATAGTTTACACCATGACAAGTTAAAGATCAATTTTGTTCCAGTACAATTAATTTTTAACTGGTAGGGGACTATATATTGCCATGCAATACTCTCAGAATGCTTGTTTATTAAGTGTTATTTTAAAATTCATTCAGTGGTTTAATTAGAAGTTGTTGAGGATTCCTGTAGCAACCTTTATTAGTCTATGTTTCACCATGTTTACAGTGTGAAAACATAATTATTTTGTTAAAAAAGAAAACAAAATAGGAATTGTGTGATGGAGTAAAGTGCTGAAGGATTTCCAATAATTTCATGAAAAGTTTCACTGACAGTTTTACCATTGACCCAACTCGTTAATAGATTTTAAAAACATGGGCATGTTTACAAGCTTCTAATTACAAGAACTTTTGGTGTTTTTCTTCCATAGTTTAAAATTATAAAATTAATCTACAATACCAACAGAATGTTATTATATCTGCATGTTTCTGGTGTATGTATGTGTTTAAAAATTTGCGCTTAATGCTAGTACCATTTGACGCATGGTGTGTTTCCTGGAAAACAGCCTGTGACCTAAATGTAAGACTTGGTGGTTGTCTTTAAATTCTTGAATTTTTACTGCTCTGCAAAAGAGGGGGACATGAAAAAATGTCTTCCCCTGAGCCAGGAGTTAGAGTAAAATGCCACCCTCGTATTAACGAATCAAAGTATGATTATAAAGAAAAACATACTTGCAATTTTCTTTGATAATCCAAATTTGAATAATGTTGTGCTTGCCTAAAATTATTCTGGAATTGAACAACACCTTAAAGTCCTTTTATTACAAATAATGAATTGAATACATCAGACAATATAGTGAAAAATGTGCGTCTAACATGACCTCATTTCAGATATGTCACCTCTTAATGATAAGCCATTGAAAATAATACTGAAAATGAAGAAGAAACTGCTATCTTTATATACAAAATACATTATAAAGTAAAAAAAAATCATTTATTTTTCAGGTCAAGATTAGCCATTATTCCACAAGATCCATTTTTGTTCAGTGGAACTGTGAGGGAAAATCTTGATCCAACATCATCTCATATAGATTCAGATCTGAATAACGTTTTAGAAAGATGTCATCTGAAGGCACCTGTAGATAGACTCGGTGGTCTGGAGGCTGATGTAGGAGAACGTGGCAGAAATTTCTCTGTAGGACAAAGGCAACTTGTCTGTTTAGCAAGGGCATTATTAACTCGGGCAAAGGTAAGAATTAAAAAAAATTCTTGGATGATATTTCTGTGTAGGACAAACATCCCTTGCCTGTTTAACTAAGGTATTGTTAACCCAAGCAGTGATAGATGTTTATATTCAGTCAGATATGACAGTTCTTTGTAGGGCAAAGGCAGTTTGCCTTTTTGTTACGGTATTGTTAACTTAATCTTGGGTAAGTATTTATTCTGTATAATGGCAAGGTTTCTCTGTAGGGGAGATGCCTGTAGTGTTCTGCTTTTTTTTTGGAAATAGAAGAGATGATACAAGTTGAGCAGGTATTGCTGTCCCTCTGAAGCACATGTTGGTATCAGATTTTGTTGTCTAGCTAGCCTGCAACAAAATTTGCAGACAGTAGGACATAAGCTAATCTTGTGGTGGCATAAACTATTTGTTATCTATAAATTTAGAAGGTAAAATATCTGGATGCTTCATGTGATCCCTTGAAAAACTCGTTTTTTGTCATGTGAATTTTTCACTTATTATGAGTAATATGATAATTTTATTTGGTCCATTTGTCAGTAGCCTTAAGCAATAAGTCAACTGTACTTGATGTATTCAAGGATTGTAAGGTGTACAAATCCTACTGGCAGATATCATCTGAAATTAACCTCAATTTCTTTGTTCATTTGTCAAGTTCATGTTAAGATTCCCTAGTTTGGTTCTTTTATTAGATACTGTTAGTAAAAGTCCAATTATATTTGTTGTATGTAGGGATGTCAACTCGGCGATGATTTACTAATCGAGTAATCGTTGGATTTACCGAGCAATACTCGAGAATTCGCTCGGAAAACATCTTCAAAATGGAAAAACAAAATAATACCTATTTTACGTATAGTGGGACGTTGTCTTATGGACATAAAATCCTCAACATTATTACACAGGATTAGATAAAAGTCCCAGGAATTTATATCATAATTAATAGCTCATGTACTACATAATTATACTAATTATGTAAATTGGCAAAGTCTAATTAATTATTTAAAAAAAACACTGATAGAAAAATTAATACTCAAACAAAAATATTTGGAAATCGTAAAAAAAACCCACATTTATAGTGACTTGAGTTTCACCAGTATCACTCAGATTACAGTTCTACCTTGACATCTAAGTTTGTATTTAGCCTAGAAATTACCTATTTAGCCTTGAGAATTGAAAGGTCAGTTTATCCCATTCATACAATAGAAGTTTACCTATGAAGGTCTGAATGGGGTTTACAGAATAGAGAATAATAGCAATAAAAAAATATTGAATAGAGAAAATAAACAACAAAATAAAGAATAGAGAATAATGGGGTGCAAAAGTATAAAGAATAACTGTGCAAAATAAAAGAATTATGTAATGCAATACTGATAAAATAAATGATCAATGTACAGAATTAATAAATAATCTTATAACAGAAAGATTAAATAGTAAAATCATTTTCATGAGAATTTTACAGAATGAGAGTCATTTTTAAAGCTAAAGAAAAATGCCCTAAAAATTTAAAGAATACAGATATTGGAAAACCCCATTAAGGTCCTCGTGTCATTTGCATTGTCAAAATATAGGACACACCATTGTAATATATTCCAAGACTAAACTGACTGATTAAAAGTGCAAAATTTATTGACACCTATTATGTGTATTCAGCACACTCAGGTATATGGAGTTACAATTAAATCTTGTTGACTAAAGTGAATGGTACATGTACCTAGAAAAAAATTATCGTCTGTTTGTTTTTATTGTTTTTTTTCTCTGGAAATTAATTATGCTTGTGTTGGTGTGTTGACTAATGAAAATGTTGGTTTTAAGGATTGTAAAATAAATTAACTGATATATGGTGAAGGGCTTGGTAGCAATGGAAACAACAACAAAAATCCCTCCTGCCATCCCATCCCCCAGAATATCAAATGGTCCACACTTTATTGATAAAATAGGTTTTCCTGGGATTGAAGCAACACAATATTGTTTTTTTCTATGAATAAGAAAAAAATCAATGATCTAGGTTTGAAAAGAACCTTTGAGATGTTCCCCTCAGGTATTGTTGTATTGATTGAAATATGGACAAAAGAGGTGCAAACAATAGGTGATTTAAGCGAGTGCAAATGAGTGGACACCATCAAATAAAACCAGGAGTATGTTTATTTCACAATACACTTCAAGGTTGAGGTGTAAACAGGACTATTATTGCCAAAAAGGTTGCAATGAACCATTAGCTCTCCAGATAGTAATTATGTTATGAAGTTAGAGTTATAAAATGCATGATGAAATGCATAAATGATAAAATGAATTATTCCCCAATTTATCCCCCCCCCCCAATATTAAATAGTCATCCCCTTATAATGTTATTATTTACATATACTGACACTGTAAGGAATTTACTGTATATTATCATTGGGAACTATAATTTATACCTTTATCAAATTGCTAGAAAACAATACATTCATATATTTGTTGACTAATCAATACATGAAAATAGTCATAGCAAATTTATGTAAGAAAAAACTATTTTTTAGATTTATTAACTGATTAATTTGGGTAAAGTTGAGATCATTTATAAAACTAATTAGGGGATGACCAAACCATTTTAACAATTGGAGGGGCTGATTGGTTGTAGAATGATTGAAAATAAATGGAAGTCCATTATAGAAATCCTCCTGCCAATTCCTCACTCACCCAGATAATCAAATGGTCATCCCCCTTACTGATAAAACAAAACATTTTAGGCAATGCTTTATTTTAAACACCTTCCAAAAGACTTTGGCATTAAAATGAAGGAAAAAATGCACATTCAAAGGAAATGAATTATCCCCAAATTACAAAATTTAATGTATTTTCTGTTTAAGATCATGATAATCGGGGTACCTAATAGGGATTCCATATATATTATTTTTATTTTCCTGGATTATTATTTTTAACCGGATTTTCGAAGGAAATATCGTTTATTGATTTGGTAATATACGGTGGGTGGGCAGGCGGGCGGATGGGCGGGCAGCTGCCAAACAGTTTCTATTCAATAACATGAAAACGCTTTGACAAAATTTTTTCAAATTTAGATATGTTGTTTCCTGTGACTAAATGAAGGTCAAGTTCAATTTTCACGATTTTAGCTTTTCTCCTTACTGAGTTATCGCCCTTTTTAATATCCAAAAGTGGTACCTACTATGTGATTGAGTTATTTTTCTTTGAACAGAAATGGTTAATTATATATATCAAGTTTGATAGCACTAACATGACTAAGTGTTTTTAAATTATTTTCACCTGTTTAGATAACAGATCATCTGGTAAATGTCTTATCACCCAATTATAATTGGATTGACAGATTTATTTGAAAATTTACTGTTTCCTGAGTGTTGATGATTATAAACTTTATAGGACTGTATGAATAAAGTTAGAAATTTAATGTTCATTATTAGACATTTTGAAGATAATTACAGATAAGTTTTATAGATTTTTAAAAGACATTGTATTTATGATAAATAAAATTTTTGATTTTTTTTCTTTTCTTTGGTAAATTGTTTGAAGAATTTTGTGGTAGGGTTGTTTGTTATTCTGTAAAACTAATTTTTTGATTTTTTTGATGAAGTGAACTCCTTTAAAAACTAAGCTTATATTGTCTATTAATAAACATATATTTAGATTTCTGATTTTGGGCCCAGTTTTCAAGTTGGTCCAAATGGGGGTCCTAAATTAAACTGTGTTTGATTTCATCATAAATTGAAAATATATATAATATAGGGTTCTTTGAAATGCTGAATCTAAACCTGTATTTATTTTCATTATTAATTAGATAGTACCACATTGAGGTCCAAAGGGTCCTAAATTAAAATTTTGAAAAATTGAATTCTTGATTATATGAATTTGAGTTATTATATGAATTTTGAGTTATTTCCCTTTAAACAGAAATGAGTATTTCATAAAAAAATTAATTCTTAGGGTTCTTTGATATGCTAATTCTAACACTGTACTTAGATTTTGGATATTGGACCATAAAAGATAAGTGCTCAATTTCAAATTTTTCAATTCTTTGACTACATTCATTTTGAGTCACAAACCTATGCTGTGTCAAATATTCAATCACCATCCAAATTCAGAGCTGTTATAAATGTTGTGTCCATACTTGCTCAACTGTGCAGGGTTCGACATCTGCAGGAAAATCCAGCCTCTTGTTATTTTTATATTTTACATTTGGATTTGTAATATATATTTTTTTCAATTTTCATTGGGAAGTATCATCTGTATGAAAATCACATAAACAATAAATTTTATAAGGTTCATGTGGACCCTTTGGCTAAAATGGCTGCATTTTTACCTCAAAATTTACTCTGAGTACACACAATACGGCACATCTGTAAAAGTTTTAAGGCATTGCATGCCCTAGATTAATATAAAATTTCTAATGCATTGTATGATTTAGAAAATTTAAAACTTAAACTGGACTTTGTGCAGTGCACTTTTTTTTCGTCCCTTCAGAAGATGATAAAATTAACAAACAGTTGAGTTTCACTTGATATGGTCCACGCAGGTACACAGTTTAGATTACCAAATATTGTCAGGTATCTATTGTCCTTCTATTGTCCAGGTCAATCAATACAGCTCACTTCAATTATTATCTGTTCTCCAACCTTTTTCCCAACTTAGGTTTTTATGCACCTTCTAGAGGAATGAAAAAAAGTGCACTGTGAAATCCAGTAAAGTTTTTAATTTTCTAAAGCATAAAATATATTTGAATTTTATATATGTAGGGCATGCTATGCCTTAAAACTTTTCCAGATGTACAGGTTTGTCTGTACTCAGAGACAATTTTGAGGTGAAAATGCAGCCATTTTAGACGAAGGGTCCACATGAACCTTAAAGTGTTTTTTTTTTTTACCACACTTGCAAATTTCAAAATGACCAAACATTATGCAGGTCAAGGATATATCACTCATATTGTGTAGTAACTTGTTCATCTTGTCAAACTGGTTTGATATAACTGACAGTTTGCTCCTGCCCTAGATGTCTATTTCACAGTGATCTTATGTGTTTGTGCTTAGAGTACATTGTACTGTAATATTTATTGATTTTCTGTTGGGGCATGACCTAAACATGCTAAACAGTGGCATGAAATTTCAATTTAATATGAATCAATATAATCTTTAAGTTTATTTTATATGAACTAATATTGGTATAAAAAAATTAATATTTGGATTTTACATACTGGTTGATGATGTTTTTTTGGGACCTGGATGTTTTCTTCATTCTTGTTCACATTATGATTATTTTAACCTTCAATGCACATATTGAAATTCTTTTTAAGATAAGTAGTAAAAAGTTATATTTTTTTCAATTTGTTAATAAAAATGTCTTAACTTGAAACAAAGGCAGTCAAAAATAAAAGACTTATAACCATTCAATTTTAAGACCCTGTTGATAAATTTAAGGATTTTATATTTTCAAATTAATTTGTAAAACATGTATGTAGTGTAGTAGCGGCAGATTTAAGGGTGCAGGGGGCCTGGCCCCCTCTTATGGAGCTTCATATATGATAAATGCATAGACTTTTTTTTGGACAAATCAATATGCCCACTCTTTTTTTAATCATGGGTGTGTAAATTAGTATGAAGGCTTTTTATGTATTACTAAGCACTGATTTGTCAACAGATTTTGAACAAGTAACTCAAGATGCACAAAGTTTAAGTATGTCAGAATATAGAGTTCTTTTGTACTTTAACAATATCACAATAACAATAGAGTGACCTTAATTTTGGACAAGGTAAATGGCATGAAGCCAAATTTATCAACTATTGTTCAATGGGGTAACCTGACCTTTCAATTCTCAAGGCTAAATAGGTATTTTCTAGGCTTAATACAAACTTAGATGTCAAGGTAGAATTGTAATCTGAGTGATACTGGTGAAACTCAAGTCACTATAATGATCAATACAGAGGTGATAACTAGAACTTACTGATGCCTTTTACTATTTTCAGAGGGTGCAATGAATTTGTTCTTATTTAAAAAAAATTTTTCTTTCTCGATTTTGTTATGTAACTAACAATTAAACGCAAACATTCGAAACGTATTTTAATTTGATTAATTTTGATTATTACTGTGTAACCTGTCTAATCCGACACCTGAGTATTTGAAACATCCTGCTTTAACTGACACATTTTCATGGTCCCAAAATATGCCTATTCTTGCAGAAAAAACCTGAGTATTCCGACACCCTGCTTATTCCAACAGTTTTTTCTGGTCCCCAAGTGTGTCGGATAGCACAAGGTTACACTGTATTTGATTTCCTAACAGGCGCTCTTAATAAAAAAAATTAATTCTTTAAGAAAGCAACAACATTCTAACAGGAAACCGATTAGTGGAGTATCATTTTGATATTCGATCTCGGTACTACCGAGAGATACATAGTACTCGAGTACTCGTTGACATCCCTAGTTGTATGGAATGATTGTTAGGTGTACATATCTTTTTGGCAATGTTCATCTGACCTTGACCTCATTTTTCATGGTTCATTGGTCAATGTCAGGCTTTTCTTGTTCAGTCAGTTACAATAATTAATAGGTTAACTTTTTTTGGTGTATGGAATAATTTTGAGGTGTACATTTCATCTTGCAGCATTCAACTGACCGTGACATCATTTACATGGATCATTGATAAAGTTAGCTTTATGTGTTACTTGTAGTCAAACCTTTATCTTAAAGACTTGCAACATAAAAATCAATCATAATCAGTAAAGTAGGTGACACATTTCAGTGTGTGCACTCTTGTTAATTGAAACGGAATGCTACAAATAAAATGCAGTTTGAAAATGTAAGGGTAATGATTGTAAAGACTAAAGTTTATGGCCCAGAGAGAGAATCAAGATTTAAAAAAAAACTTTGAAGCAAACAATTCTAATTGTTTTACTTACAAGCCAAATGTAAAATGCTATAGATAGAATTGTTATTATTTCAGGTTTTGTGTATAGACGAAGCCACTGCCAGTATTGACTTTGAAACAGATCAGCTAATTCAAGAAACAATAAAACAAGAATTCCATGACAGTACTGTGCTGACTATAGCACATAGAATCGACACTATACTGAACAGTGATCGTGTGTTAGTGATGAGTGAAGGCAGTGTGGCTGAGTTCGATCAACCAAATATTTTATTACAAAAATCTGAATCTCTTTTCTTCAAACTAGTCCATAAATAAATTATGTCTCTTTCTATTTAGTAATTATGTTTTTTATGAATGCTCTTCTCGATTATATTTTGGTCTTTAATTGGCCAGGATTTGTTTCTGGTCAGGACAGAGAGCAAGTCAAAGACTGGGTAAAGCTTTATATCAGACTCGTAAATTGAAAAAAAAACCATATATAGTATATACTGTAAACTCAGAAATTTAAGCTCTGTTTTTATTATTGCAAAATTTTTACCAAAATGATCTCACATTTTAAATTTTGAAAGTATTATTTAAATGCAGCATTTCTTGAAATAGCAATAATTAATCTCTCATTTGTTGTCAATTTTTCAACAATTAAAAGTATAGATTTATGCAACTTTTTTGAATTAACAGTAGTAAGGGACCAGTTGTGCCCTTTAATGTCACTCTATCTGCCTATCTGCCACACAGTCCACACTTCTTTGTGTACTTTCTTGTACAATGCCAAGATTGTGTCAAGCCATTTCAAAATTTTTTATGCACAGTGTTTTTAGAAATTAAAGGTCCTTATCTTATTTTGTAAAATTTGGGAAAGGGGGTGGACATAAAGAAACAATTCATGCGGGCTTGAATTTATTGTTATTTTTCCACGGGTTGGCCAGGGTAAAATATCAGCATAAAGGGCCAACTCATGGTAAAATCTCAATAAATTCAAGCCCCTATGAATTATTTCTATTCTAACATGACAAAGACAGCAATTCTTTGGGATCAAAGCGCTCTATGTGAAGGGAAATCTTTGCTGTTCCCATAATTGAACACACTATTAATATTGACGTAAATGACAAAGAAAATCGAATAAGTGACATTCTTAAACGATATACAATAACATACTGAGACAGATTCTGATGATTTAGATTGACTATCTTACTTTCATTTAAGAAGATATGGACATTATACAAATTCTTACCATCGTTTGTTTATGTTTTCATGTTATGACTACTTTCAGTTTCCCATTCGTTCATTTTCTGGTAAAAACCTTAATTTCTTACGTCATAGTTCAATGATGTAATTTACACCATCTGACATGAGGTAAATTCATTCATAAAAAGCATATGACATGGGAGTAGGATTGGAACAGCCCAAACAAATCATGATGTTGCCTATCAACTAAAAAATGTATATATTCGAATTTTACCATGGATGTGTACTCAAAGCATTTGAAGAACGTCATATTAGAATATGGAATAAACATATAAATATCTGGTGAAAAAATCAAAAATGCTAGGATATTTAAAAATTTTATTTAGGTATGATATGCAATTTCAGATTGATTCCAAGTATCAAAAATTAATTTTAAGGAATTCGGGGGGAAAAATTGCATTAAAATCTTATTTTTGTTAGGATTTTAAAGAAAACTCATAAATAGGTATAATATACTACTTCAAATAGATTCCTTGTGTCAAATTTGTGGCAAAATATAAGTTTTTGTCTTGTCTTAGTGGAAGTTGTGGAGGTGATAGTGTATGCACCGTGTCATTGTAGGCATCGTCAATTTGTTAATATGGAGTTTTATCAGCATTGACACATCTCTTTTCCCTGTCCCTCAGTTATGACTTTAAAACTTTTGCAAAATTTATGATAAGGTCAGCTTTAAAGGAACCACTAATGGTAGGTCAATTATATTTGGTATGCAAGTATGAGGTTTTAGTTAGCTGTAAATCTAGGTTTAAGTCACCATTTCATCGGAAAATGCCAATACCAAGTCCGGAATTTAAAATTTGTTTTTCCATTCTTTCCATTGGTTGATATGATGGATTCATCTTGGAGTTCAGTATATTTGTAATTTCATTTTTTTTTCTTCACTAAAAGATGATTTTATAATTGGTTTGAGCTTTATTGTATTTGGTTGTCTATGTTTCTATGAAGGAGAATGTTTTTTTTTATGCCCCCGCAACTGAAAGTTGGGGGCATATTGTTTTACCCCTCTCCATCCGTCAGTCAGTCTGTCTTTCCGTCTGTCTGTCCTTCGCCCGTCCATCCTTCGTCCGTCCGTCCTTTCGTCGGTCCCATTATGGGTATATAGTTATTCCAGATAACTCCTCCTACAGTTTGAATGCTAGGAAAAAGTAAAATCACAAAAATACTGTACTCCGAGGAAAATTCAAAACGGAAAGTCCCTTATCAAATGGCAAAATCAAAAGCTCAAACACATCAAAGGAATGGATAACAACTGTCATATTCTTGACTTGGACAGGCATTTTCTTATGTGGGTTATCACTTTGCTGGCTATTTGTACATATATTGAAGGTGTGCATGTTGTCAGGGTTTTGATATTTATTAATATTTGCTCTTTTGGGAGATAGTTGAAACTTGTCATTTTTTGGAGTATTTACTTGCATAAGAGGTGCATAGCGTTTCAAGATAACTCCTCCTACAGTTTGAATGCTAGGACGTTTTAACATTGCTGGCTATTTGTACATATATTGAATGTGTGCATGTGGTCAGGGTTTTTTATTTTGATAATATTAGCTCTCTTGGGAGATAGTCGAAATTTGTCATTTTTTTAGTATTTACTTGCATAAGAGGTACATATCGTTTCCAGATAACTCCTCCTACAGTTTGAATGCTAGGAAGTTTTCACTTTGCCGGATGTTTGTACATATATTGAAGGTGTGCATGTGGTCATTATTTTTATTAATATTTGCTCTTTTGGGAGATAGTTGAACTTTTTCATTTTTGGAGTATTTACTTGCATAAGAGGTGCATAGCATTTCCAGATAACTCCTCCTACAGTAAACCATAGGCCTATGTGCTCCCATGCTCAACTTTGTGTATTTTAAAATAATACTTTGCATCTGCGGGGGCATCATTTGTGTCTCCCAGACACAATACTATCTTAAGGAAAATCCTACATTGACTGTTATAATAATGGCACTTCAGAGTGGAGTGCGGCGGCATCACATTGTCGAGTTTTGGTCTGATTTGATGGGTGTACTGTCTAAGATTTTCATATCTGGCATGAGTGTTTTTTTGACTGAAGCCGTAGTTACCACTTGAGATTTTTCAGATCTGACTTAATTGTAGATAGTTTTTAATTCCTTTTTGATTGGTTGAATGATCTGGACTGCATTTTTTTCTGGAACTTGGCAATGTTGACTTGTACTATGAAAAGGGATTTCAGACCTGCCGTGCATCCCACTTACCATTTGTAATAGTTTGAACAGTTGGACTTCAAGGGATAATTGTGCAGGTTCATTTCAAGCAGAAGAATGACTATAGCCTTACAGAATAATCTTACTTCAATCATCCAGGATTTTATAGATTATCTTGTACCTGAAGATTGTTCTGATCTTAATAAATTCTACACAAACTTCAGATTGCTGAAGAAAATATTTTGGTCATATGTTTCTCTCAGTCCAATGGCACTTGGAGTACAAGGTTTACAAATGTTCTTGTGTAAAATGTTTTATATTTTAACTTTTTCTAAATTGAAAGTCCTCTTCGTGATAACAACAAAATTCTATAGTATACGTTGTTTAGTTGTTACCAGAGACATATATACAGGAATCTGATGTTCAGTAGTTGTCGTTTGTTGATGTGGTTCATAAGTGTTTCTCGTTTCTCGTTTTTTATATAGATTAGACCGTTGGTTTTCCCGTTTGAATGGTTTTACACTAGTAATTTTTGGGGCCCTTTATAGCTTATTGTTCGGTGTGAGCCAAGGCTCCGTGTTGAAGACCGTACTGTGACCTATAATGGTTTACTTTTATAAATTGTGACTTGGATGGAGAGTTGTCTCATTGGCACTCATACCACATCTTCTTATATCTATATATGTATATCTGTCTCTGTTGTTACTCACTACTTCTATTATACCAAAATAATAATATTTAAGAGTTTTAATAGTAATAATAATAAACCTCTTATTACGACCAGAGCATGATCAAAGGATAAAAAAAAACAGGACAGTACAATTAATTAAGCAGAACAGCAAAACCAACATAAAACGTTATTTCCTGCCACGTTATCTAACATATATCTGGATCTGCCCCGTGGTTCTCTAAATATCTGAATTGGTTTTTTTTTCCTTCAGTGTGATTTTCGGGCCAAACTATGACAGTAACTGTTTAATTTCTTTGCCAGATTTATTTTATTGATATTACTGCACGGTTTTGTTCTTCAATTGACAGTTGTGGTGTGATCGTCAGTTAACAAAGAATTCCGCTTCAACCGATGCCAGGGACCGTCTTAAACTTGAAGTGAGGTGAGAAGGTTTTATTTACTCCATGTTGAAGGCCTCACTGTGACTTTGAGATGAAGAACAGCAATAAAAAGCGCTGTTCCATTGCTTTTTGTGTTTGTTTATTTGCATGTTCTGATTTTGTGTCCTAAATGGATACCACAAATTCTTTCTCTTCTATTATAAAACAAAATGAAATACACGAACTACAAATGTTTTTAAATAATAATAAAAGGTTAAAAGGGACTCTTTTCTAATTTTGCAGATACATTTTTCTCCAGGATATCAAATGACTTCATTACTAAGTTAGAAATTCGCTTTTAACTTGCATGTCCGAATTTTGTCAAGGGTTATCTTAAATGAAGGGATGGAAAATGCATCAAAAGGAAACAACATTTGTCATTTTTAGACAAAATCCGTGTGGTAATTTTTATTTATAAAATAAAGAAAAAAGTTATATCTTATATTTTATCAACACACACTGTTTCACATAATGTGTCATCACTTTCATTTTTATAGTTACTTATTTCATTAGACACATTTTAGATTTTATAAACGAAAGCTGAATAATAGGATCTACTACCATCATCCACCTGACCTGAAACTATCATCATTTCTGTTTCTTTGTTGATGTCTATCACATCAGGAAAGTTAATACCATCATCTTCTAATAGTATGGTTTTACAGGTTTTGCCGTCTGGTGAAACTACCACGATGCCGTTGTCTCCACGAGAAACTATATAAACAAAGCCATTTTTGTCTAATGCAAGTCCTCCTAGTATGTCAATGTCATGCTGAAATGTCCATAGAGGTTCCCCAGTTTTTTTGTAGCAGCAGATATTGTTCTCAGATTGAATGATACCATAGATATTTCCTTTAAATACTGCACTATAATTGGCCCCAACACCTTGTAAGATTGTATGAGACATATCATTCAGATTTACTATGGTACTATCATTGATGGCGCTGATGGCCAATATTTGACCATCACTTGCTACTGCTGAACTTATATGAGGAAGTTTAATAGTTTGAATGATTTTATTCCTTTCCACATCCACCACTGCTGTCTGGTTTTTTATTCCAAATGCCACAGCCACTATATCATTTCTGACAAAGCAAGCATCCACTGGACCTGTAGAGAATGACATTACTTTTCTGATAAAGATGCCATTATTACTGAACATCAGTAGTTGAAATTTGTTGAGGTCAAGTATCATAAATTTACCATTAGGTAATGCTAAACAAGCCGTTATATTTAAGGACTGCATATTGTTTGGAATTGTCAGTGTTCTCAACAACAATGGCTTAATTTTTTCAATTCCAGGAATGTTTTTAACCAAGTGCTGGGCTTGACCTTTTCTTTCGGCCTTTACACAGAGAGTAGAAGGGCAGTTATTAATATTTATATCTCCAAACGACTTGATATCTTGTAAAATTGATTTAAGTCCAGATGAAATGTTAACTTCTAAGTTCCTTTCATTAAAGTGGTCTTCTCTTTCTAAATCGTCTATATATTTTGCCGTTTGTGAAGTAGCTTTCTCGATTTCTCTTAGGCCAACATACATTTGCAGCTCAGTTGCACATTGCTTCATTTTGGTAAACTCATCCTGCATTTGCTTTATCTTACTGGCTCGCTGTTCCATTTGTTATACAAGAGTGCTCATCTTTGATTTCAGCTTTGAATGTTTAGACTCCAATTCATCGAGTATATTTTGCTCTAATTTGGTAAAAAAATCGTCTATCGACTTTCTCATATGTCGGATTTCCTCAACGGCTTTTGTTTTCTGAGTATTGTTTGTACTGATCCTTGTTTTTAAATATTTTATTGTCTTATCTAAATTTTCTTTAACATCCTTCAAGTCTTTTTCGAGAAGCTGAACCGAGGCAGATGATTTAACTTGTTTTAGAACATCTGACAGTGGTTTCATTTCTTGACATTTCTGATGTTTATCAGTGATGCACTGGACACAGCACGGACAGGCATGGAAAGAGCAATAAAGTTCAAACTTCTTCTTGTGGTCTCTGCACTGACTACTTATTTCTTGCATGAATGTAGGTAACTTTTGGTAATCTTCAGCTGACATGGTTTTATGGTTCTTAGAAAGCCTAGACTTTCTGTGAGGTTTTTCACAGTCTCCACAAAAGAAAACCTCACATTCTGTGCACCAGCTGACTGCTCTTTTGGAGATTCCATCATCATGGCAAATTGTACAAATATGGTGTTCCGTGGAGGACATTTTGATGTGCTGAACCTTTGAGGCAATTTCTGTCTCCACTAAATTGGAAAACTCCCTCCCTAAAACATTCCAATGTTTAGAATGAATAAATAATTTGCCTTTAAGTATTAAAAAAATCATGTTTAAATGGAAGTTTCATGTCGAGATATGTAACGTGCTAATACTACATGAATATTCAAAACGATATTTTAATTTTCTGCTTTGCACGCGTAACAATTTTTAGCGATAAAATGAAAATTTCAAATACCATTTTGAATTTTTTGAATTTTCCATTGATTGAGATTCAAAATAATAATTGAAACTCCCATTAATGATTAAAACCTAATGTCAGACCATGAAAACATCAAATTTCACCTTTTTAATATTTGATACATTCCTATTAAGAGTCAGTCTTGATAAAAAATATATTATAATACATTAATTTTCAACAGAACTCTAAAACTGGGAACCGTGATCATTAATTTGGAATAAAGGTCATTTAATTGTTTTTAGATCTCAACCCTCCTAATATTAATGTCTGGCAGTTAGCCAAGTACAATTAAGGTACAGGATAAAAACTTAGTTTTAAAGTAATGATATGAAAGATAACAAAACACATTACAAATAGAACAGTTATAAACAATATGATACCATATCAATGAATGCCCACAAAGTTCAGAAATCTAGTTTTCGTCATTTTACAGTATTAAAATCCAAGTATATTTACTGCAATCAACAGGTCATTGTGTTAACATAATTTTTACTACATGTAGCTAAAGGACTTTGGTTCATTAATTTGAATAGTTCAAATATATTGAGTGAATCTGGTGCATTTCATTTTGAGACAATTCCAGTATTGAATTAAGAAAGTCATGAACGTTTATACAATTCTGCTATTTTTTATCAAAAGTGTTTGGGCCATGGACTCGTGTTTATTGTTTTTCTGTTTTACTGTACTGAGTTTACTTATATTCATTTTAATGTGCTATGATTATACCAAAATATTTTAATATTTTTTCAGTATTAGACAGCATCGGAACGAATTAGAAAAAAGTAGAACAAAAGTATCATAATCTGAAACCTTTTTTCAAAATAAAAATAGGTATAGCACAGAAAACGAAAAAGAAAAGTAAATGACCAAGAGCCTATATTTTCAACCACTCTGAACCTTACTATGCTCTTCAACTTTGTACTTGTTTGGCTTTATAACTATTTTGATCTTAGCGTCACTGATGAGTCTTATGTAGACGAAACGCGCGTCTGGCGTATTAAATGATAATCCTGGTACCTTTGATAACTATTATTACTTTCTTTTTGAAATTTTAAAAATTAAACATTTTCATGCTATGCATATTATGACTGTTACTGTAGAATGATCCATTTTGGATTTAAAACAACAATATCATCATTAATTGAATAATTTAAACATCATAATCACTTTCTTTCTTACCATCGCCATCTTGTCACCAAGATATTTGCACTGGGAAGTTAAATGTCAATTATCTGGGACACATACATTTGTACCTATTGGAGTGAAAAGACGGGATGATTTTCAATATTAATAGACCACCCTGCAGACTAACCCATGCGTAATGGTTATGTATTTTTCACCCAGTAATAGACTTCAAAAATGGCGCAGAACCTCGATAAAATTGAGTTTGGAAATTTTGTAATAATTTCTGATTAAGGATTAACGTTCTATGAAATACAACGAATTGGTTTCTATAAATATGACTCATGAGTCAGTAATTTATCATTTGGATGTAAAAAAATCGGCGTCATGTAAATATAAAATGACTTCAATTTGAAATTCCCAGTTACTGGTCGGATTACTTGATAATGATAGAAAAAAGTAAAATTACCTAAATATGAATAATATGAATTAATAATTTCGTCATAAATTTAAAGAAAAAAAAATGCACGTAAATAAGAAATGAAGCCGTTTCTCTCTTGCAGAAATGACTACAAATTTATTTACTTTTAACGTCGTTCTGCCGTTTTCTTAATTTATATACTTTGTATTCAGTTAGAGAATAATGAAACTTGAACGAATGTAAAACTGGCTTGGTTAAATACATATATATGCAACAAAATACAGTACAAAAATGTGCTTATAGTCTATGTTATAAGAGGAAAATGTGTGCGGAAGATCATATATCCCGACTTGTTTTGTATATTAATAATCTTGTTGTAACTTCTAAGTAAAAAGTAAGAAAAATCAGCATATTGGTAAATATCCGGAGATTTCCCGCTGACAGAAGCCGCGAGTACTTGCTATTTTTGGAGAGGAAAGCAAAGACTTTGAAAAATATACATTGTAATATATAGTTTGTATTTTAAGTTGGTTACAAAAATCATCTTCTTGATAAGCAATTTGTTTACTTAATGAACTTAGCAGCAAACTCAGAAAAAAAGTAGAAGAAAAGTTAATTAAATTGGAAAAAATTAAAATAATATCAAAAAGAATTTAATAAAATGTAAATAAAAATAAAATAAACCAAGCTTTTGGATTTAAAGAGACAATAAGTGTCTCTCGTATTCTACATGCGTTCTATATTATATAATATATTTATTATTATATATTGAGAACACTATTCTGAATTAACCATGCGGTTGTAGATATACGCCAGTTCGGTGGACAAACTAATGGACAAACGATGGGCTAAACTCACTTACAGTAATGTTAGAGTTTTTTTGCTCCCGCTTGAAGGCCTCAATGGGACTTTGAGATGAAGAACAGCAATACAAGCGCTGTTCCTTTGCTTTTTGTATGTGTTTTTATTTTGCTGTGCATGTACTGATTTTGTGTCATGGATGGATACCCATATCCTTAGTTTTTCTATAACACCGTAGCATAACGATGAACAGACTAGCACCGTATGCCTGGGATGAGGAGACTAGCACAGTTTTCGTGGCATCAGTGTCATTCAGTAAAAGGGAATGATCAGTTTGCTTCTGTATACATATTACCTCAATCAATATTGCATGCAGCGACGCAGGTCTAGACTCTGTTTTTATAATTTGAATTTTCAACTGGACTTGTTTTCACAAAAATAAAACTCACATCTTGAATGCATTATTGGTATGCAGCATTTTTTTAAATTGCATTTTTGTCACTTGATCAACGATCACAATAATAGATTCATGCAAAACGTTTTGAATTTACAGTATTTTAGGGAGCTAATAATCCCTCTGCCAGTCTGTCTGTCCATCAGCACTTCTATGATATGTCAAGATTGTGTCAACCAATTTCTAAATTGTTTTAAGCACAGTGTTTAAACATTTTTATGGAAGCTTTTGAGAAAACTTTTTGGGAAAATATTGTAATGACAACTAATGACAAGTCAATGATATTGGTATGAAATTGTTTCAGCATTGGCACATCTCTTTTACATGGAGATTATTTGGCCAGTCACCTCGGTCATGACTTTGAAACTTTTCTAGTCTAAATAATGGAACTCCAGAAATTATTGTGAGTGTTTTTTTATTATGATTCTGACATGGCCAACCAAATTCAAGATTATTTATTGGGATTTCAGGAAAAGCTGCATACAGATATATGCATCAGATACCAGAATGTGAGATCTTACCATTACGATACTCACAATCGCATTGATAAAAGCCTTATAATAATTTCTGAATGTACAGTATTAAAGTTTATGATAAGGTCAGTTTAAAGGAAATTAATTGGCCCCGCCTCCTTAGTCATGGTCGAATTAATTTGAAACTTTTGCATTAGATTAAATTTAGTTATGTTATATATTTATAATATAGTTATTTTGGCTGTCGAATCCAAATTATTGTCACGTTAACCAATTATGTCTGTATGGGTTGCTCACAGTATATTTTCAATACAGCAGAACGATTGTCAACTGTTATACAAGTGGGAGGTTTAGCTAGCTGTAAAACCAGGTTTAACTCACCTTTTTCTTTCGAAAATGCCTATACCAAGTCAATTTTTGCAGATTTTGCGAAAAACTATTTGGTATGTTTTTTTTGTAGGAACTATGATAGATAGAGATACATTGTAAGTAGCTAATATGTTCAAGATTATGACAGTTGCTTTCAAGTTGTTCTGTTTGTTGATGTAGTCGGGCGTTTTGTTTTGTCAGTTTTTATTGACTTCCCCTGTTTGAATTTACCTTAGAGTTTGGTATTTTTGCTATTCCGTTTTTAGCTCATATGGCGTACAATAAAAAACATGACAGAAATCGTGAATTGATCCTTTCAAGTAGTTGTTGCTCTTGAATGACGATATTTTTCAAATTTTTGCAGATTTTGCGAAAAACTATAATAGTAAAAATGTTCAGCAAAATAAGATCATCATGAACGAAATTGTCAATTGCCCCCTTTAATATAGGAGTAAATTGCCCCCTTTAATATAGGAGTAATTGCCTTTGAAAGAAGTTGTTTACTTCACATTTTTGTGTTTTTTAGGAACTATGATAGATAGAGATACAATGTAAATAGCTAATATGTTCTGCGTAATAAGATCTTCAAATAAGTCCAATGGCAGCAATCCTCAATTGATCCCTTATAGGAGATGTGTCCCTTGAAAGATGATTGTTAATCATTTGTGCAAAAACCATCATGTATAGAGAGAAACTGTACATAGCAAAAATGTTCAGCAAAATAAGATCTATGAATAAGTCAAATGGTCGAAATCATCAATTTACCATTATAGGAGTAATCAATATTTGAAAGAATATTTTTACCTATTTTTGCAGAAACCATAAAAGATAACAGAGAAATTGTTATTAGCAAAGATTCATTAAGGTGTACAAATAAGTCAAAAGGTTCAAAGTCGCCAACCGACTACTTATATCAGTTATTGCCCCTAAATGACCAACTATATCAATTTTTGTAGAAACTTTGACAGATAGAGTGGAATAATATACATGTATAGCAAAAATGTTTAGCAAAATAAGATTTACAAAAACGTTAAATGGTTGAAATCGTCAGTTAACCCCATATAGGGGTTATTGCAACCCCATAGAGGGGTTAGTGTCCTTGAAAGCTGATTTTTACACATTTGTGCGTATTTTGCAGAAACTATAAAATATATAGAGAGAGGAACAGTAAACAGTAAAAATATTCAGCACAATAAGATCTACTAATAAGTCAGCATGGACAAAATTGTCTCTGACTTCTTATAGGTGTTATTTCTATTAAGGGATAATGTTTAGGTTATTAATTAAACCCGGCAAAATAGCATATTTCTATAGCAACGGCTATTTTTCCGGCCCAGGCAATGTAGTGAAATTGTTATTTTGCCGGTTCTTTGTAAAGAGTGAATTTTAATATTTACTTTTGAAAAGTACTACGAAAATTACATTGCCAACATAAAAGAATCAAATTATGACTCATATAGTTAAATAAGATAACAGTCAAAATATTTGAGATACATATAATCGTCTAAAACATGTAGTTGAAATTACTTTTAAAATCAGTCACAGTCTAATACTACATGTATATATAAGAATGAAATCTCAGACTTTTTAACTGTATGTTGTAAAAAACTAGAAGATATAAAAAAAATCTCATTGCATATAACGTCACAATACCCAAATTGTACCGACTACCAAAATTGCACCCTACCAAAAAAAATAGCAACGGAAATCTTACAAGTTTTCTTAGACACTAAACATTTTGTATTTTAATGGTTTGACATTTCTTTCAACATAGCTAAATATATTCAAATATACACAAAACGTTCACAGTATATATATCAACAGATAAAGTTTCCACTGGAAAAAGTAAAATCTACGGAAACGTCGTCATGCGACGTCCAAAAAAAGTCAACTTTAAAAAATGATCAATTAAGATATGTTGCAGGCATCAATTTCCTTAAAAAATGATTAGCAAGCATTGACCATTGTCAAATTGTTCTAAATATTTGGAGAAATAAAACAAAACATCATTTTTCGATTTTTACGGATGTCAATTTAAGTATGGATGCAAGTTGGGTACTCCTCGTGTATAGAATCATAGATCGTTTGGAGGTATGTTTCAACCCATTTTCTATGATTCAATATTAATTCAAAATTAAATTGGTGGAACTATATAATAAATACGGATACATCTACAAAATAAACACAGAATGAACACTTTTGTCTGGATCATAAATAAACGTAGGTGAAAAACTGTCCAAATAGGTGCATTTGGCTACCCTAACTTTATATAAATTTGATAAAACATTATACAAGATCACAAGATCAATTATATAGCTTCAAAATCAAAAATGTTTAAATTAAATTTTCTTTTGAAATGATAGTCAGTTCATTAAATTGCATATCTGTAAATAAAATCATGTTTTACTGGCAAAATGGACCTCCGCTTACCTAGAGCCGGCAAAATAGCCTAATTTTTACCATTTTTTTGCATTTTTGTCATAAATTATAACGGATAGAGAGATCCTTTAAAAAGGAAATCAATGATCAACCAAATAAGATCTACAAGTAGGTCAACTACTAATGATAAATTGTTTA